GCACTAACCATGTGCCCTCCACATACCGTATCACCTCTGCATTGTTCGAATATTTTGCGCGCAGCTCGGCAACGGCATCGTTGTAGGCATCGAACGTACTGGCCTCTGCAATCGCCTTCCACGTACTGTGCGTGAAAATCTCCGAGAATTTTTTATTCTTCCCAAATAGTTGGTAGGTTTTGGCTTCCACATCCTTGTTGATGTGCCACGTGCAGAGTAAGTGGGCTGATTCAGGAAAATGCCTCTGAATAGGAGTGAGTAAACCCAACTCTCTGTCACTGACAACAACATAAGGATATACGCTTTGGCCTATCAGTAGTCTCAACTTCTCTAGAACCCAGTCGTAACTGGTCTCTTTCTCGTCCCTGATGAGGGCATACGCAATTAGGAAGTTCTGGTTGCACGGCGTCATCCCAATCATCTCGACCAACGGCATCTTGTACCTGTGCAAATGTAACCAAGAAGACAAAAAATATAAGCACATAAAACTTAACTTAATCAAACACACTATTTAAGATTCATACTAATAAAGTATTTATAAAGTAACATACCTGTTGGTTTTATACGTGGAATCTATACCGACATACCAGTGATATGTCCGGAATAGATTGATCGACGCAGGATGGGCCATGAATATATGCGTCAGCACTTTCGTGTTCGGATCGGATTCTACATAAACTGTATACTGGCTGCTCACGGCCAAATGCATAAGCTGAGTAGGAACGTCTCTACCGTCGGAACCCTCTCTCCGCAGCTTATCTCTAAAGTTATATACCTGTCACCGATTAGCGTTAATTATAATGATTATTATAATTTAAAACAAAAATTTTATTATATTAATAAATAAAAAAGTATATTAATGCGATTAATTTGATAAAAAAATTATTAACTATCACAATAATAATACATTAGTAAATATAATAAAATTTATTAATTATTACAATAACTTTTACATATAAAAAATTACTAATTATCATAATTAACTTAAAAAATTTAATTAAAACATATATTACAAGATATAAATATATATACCTGCCGCACATGAACGTTGTCTCCCGGATTCTTTTCCTTCAGCGCGGCCATAATTTTTTTCGGGGCCACCTGAGCGTCCGTCATTTCACGAACAATTCTCTTAGATGAAGCGCTGAGACCGCTCAACTGGCTATGACCCTCAGGATACACAGCAAATGCATGGTTATGGTAGCCTTTCTCTTCATTGCTACATCTACAGATCCTCCAGTATGGAACGCCGGACACCTTTTTTACTTTGATCTCAAAATTGCAGCCGCACTTATTCGTTTTTGTCCTTCTAGAATTTCCGCCTGTGCCTCTGTACCGTTCGCCTCTATGGCACTTCAAAACTCTGACCGTTTTCTTTTTGTGGCTCGAAATAATTAATTGGAAACCATTCAGCATTGCCTGGTGTTTTGCAGCTTCAATAGCCTCCTGAGCACTACTATAGAATGAAGATGTATCGAAACGCACACTGTAATCAACACCATCTCCTCCAAAATCTTCCCATGACTCCTGCTATATAGTACTATTTTTAGAACATGTTAAATTAAGATAATTAATTCTAGGATGTAACATAATAATTTGTAACTCGTAACATGATATTATCTAACGTTCAATTAATATAATTTGTAACTCCTAACACGATCACAATAATATGTAAACGTCAATTTATAACATAACTAAAACTAATATATAATGTAATAATTTCTAACTCGTAACACGATAATATCTAAACGTCCAATTTATATTATAATCAACATGTAACATAATAATTTGTAACTCCTAACACGATAAACGTCCAATTAATAGCATAATGAAGTCTAAAATGTAACATAATAAATTTCTAACATAATAATATAGTCCAATTTATAACATAACTATTTCGAATAAATAACATAACAATTTAAAAAAAAAAAAAAAAAAAAAAAAAAATCCGGCCGGCCGGCCGAACCGGACGGACCGGTTCCGACCGGCCGTCGTTTCCGGACGGCTTTCTTGCCGTCCGGCCGGCCGGTTCGGACGGCAGCGGTCCGTCCGGCCGTGCTTTCCGGCCGGTTTTTATGTCGTCCGGCCGGCCGGTCCGGACGGTTTAAGGACCGTCCGGAACCGGCGTCCGGACGGCTTTTAGACCGTCCGGAACCGGCGACCGTACACGTATTTTTTCGTACCTCCGAATTTGACGACATTTCACCGTACACTTTCCTCTGAGATGTTTAGAAAAAATGAGAAGGGCAAAATTGTCCAAGGGGGACGGTGACTAGTAAAAGGGGGGCGGTGAATAGTAACACCCCATTTTCTAACTACCTTACAATCATTAGTTTAAAACTTTTACCACATCAACTATAAATATTACACTTTTATCCATATCCACTCACAAACTCAAAATCAAATCCAAATGTTCACTCAATTAACTTTTTTTTTTTTAATAAATTCTAACTCACTATATTTGATAAATCAAATCCAAAAAAATTACTTCCAATCAATGTTCACGAGTTAATTATGGAAGCAAACCCCACACGATTGTGAATGCATAAGGACGTAAGATGGTCGGGGTCGAGTGCAGATTTTGACGAACCCGAACCCGTCCCTTATACATTTCATCTAACGGTGACTTCGTTCCGATCCGACCTGACCCGTATAATGTAGAAATAAATAAAGAAACATTCTACTACACAATTAATTGTAATATAACTAATAAATTGTTAACAAGATTTGAAAAATAAAATAAATCTAACAAATATTTTATAATTCCCTAGAGTTATAATGAGGTTTTTTTGTACTCTAGCTAATAGTATAATGTTTATAAAAAATAAAGTGCATGGCCATATAAAATTTAATAATCAAATATCCACAATAATGGAGACTTAAAAATGAGGACTTTGCATAAGAAAATGTAATNAATTTTGATATACTATATATATATATATGTGTGTGTGTGAATTAATCTTTTCTTAATTCATAGTTTGCACAAAAGAAGTATCTTTAGTTATATTCTTTAAGTTTTTTCAACTTTTTTCGAAATAGTAGATTTTAATATTTTATATTCTTATATAATACTAACTCACCATAAATATTTTTTATATATTGAATTTTGCATCGATGATAACCTAATAAAGTTTAGTTTGAATTACTTATATGAAATTTAAATAATACACGCTATAATAAAAAATTCTTTATTATTATTCATCATACATATACAACTTATGAAGTTACAAAAAATAAGTAATTATGTGTCTTTACAATACAAATATAATAAATTTTAATAGCAAATGCAATAAATAAATAAATATAATAATAATAATAATAAATTGACCATTAATCGAAAGTACAAAATCCTCTAATTTTTTCTTAGTCACACATGCATGAATAATTTTATAATTATAAAAAAGTACAATTATAAATGAGAATTTTTAATTTATTTTAAGTGTGTTGCAGGTAAACGGATCGTGTTGTAGGCATTTGCATTAAATCCATAACCGATCGGGGTTCGGGTAGTAAGTCTATATCTTTTTATGCTACATCGTTTATGATTTTTTATTGAATTACTGAATACGGATTGTCTTAGAGAGGACGAATTACTAATCTGACCTGTCAATATCCAAAATTCATTGACGATATTGAAGAAGGTGTCGCTTATATCTTGACAAACTACCAAGTGGAAAGCAACATTGGCATCTATAAATTGACGATATGTACTTGAAGGATCATTATCAATGGTCAGACCAAGATTCACAAGTGGATGGGTGAATTTGCTATGTATCTTTTTTACTTTAGGGACTTTATAACTTTAATGGATGTTGATAATATTGATGAAGCCATATTGTTTGGTACGTTAACATTTTAGTTTATTTCTTATTTCGATTTTAGTAAAACCTATATAATGTCTATTATACATTTTAATATTGTCTTATATTTTTGTAGATGTTATTGGATTGGTTCTTTCAATCCAACTTATTCAAATGAAGGTTGTCAAGGGAGTTCCTACCCAAATGATTGTCATCTTTATTATGGATTTGAAGTAAGAATTTTTAGCATTATATATTCATATTTTTTTCTATCATTTTATATATCTTTTTTTTTCTATCATTTTATATAACAACTGTTTCGATATTAGTTTTTATCGCATGCAATGATATTAAAAAAAAATTTATATGATCATTGTTTAAAAAATATTTTCGCAACTCATAAGATGTCTTTATAAATTTTTTCGACATTATGTAGGGGGAACATCAAGAAATGCATGCTTTGGAGCAATATGTTGACCAGTTGATTAGTTTAGAGCATCATTACCAAAATGAAGAAGCGCCTTTTGTCCTCATCATACAAATGTGTCGTGCGAAGAAGTGGAGAGGTAATTCATTATTTTAATGTAATGAAACTCAATAATTAAACCGCCTACCTTTTTAATTGGCTAATCTAATACATTCTTTAATAGGTGAAGTTCAAATAAGCACATCAAAGGATGTGACCCTACTCATCGGTGTTGATGTTCCCGAAATGCAAGATTTTCAAAGGAGGTACAAAAGATTTGTTATCTTATAGACCTTTTTTTCATGGGTAACTATAGCTCCTCAACTTAGATTTGAACATTTATGTATGTTATTGTCTAACAAGGATGGTAGCGAGTAAAATTAAGGATACCAAATTGGTGTCCAGTAGCTCAATCATTGTCAAAACCGAAATACAAGAACTTGATTATGGTGAGTTCTATTGATTCTCTATATGAGTGCGTCAAGATAATATTAATTTCCTTTGAGATGCAGTTATAATTTTGTTTTCAATTTTTTTACGGTTAACTTTTTTCCTTAAAGTTGCAATTATAAAGTTGTAGCGCACCAGCCTTGGCCTTTTAATTAGTTGAAGTTAAAATAATACGTTTTTTTTATCTTATTGACATATTTTTCTTATTAATTTTATGATCGAATATAATTTTTATTTATTATTTATATCATTTTTTAAAGTAGATTTGTTCGAACATAAAATCTCGTGCATCACATAGGTACTATACTTGTTCAATTAGCATATTATGGATATGCAGATAATGGAGCTCTCTTTACCAACAAAGTGACCCCATACACTTCAAATATCGTAATGTTAGCAAGTATTCTATAACAAGACTCATTTTTAGTAGCAAATGGGAAATGGAAAAATTAGAAAAATATTTAATCCATACCACAAATGCCAAAACGTCAAACACTATACACACACACTCTTCACCTGCATACTTTTTCTTCTCTTCCTGCAAAATAAATATAAGATCCTGAGTAGCAAATTCATACACAATGTCATGATAAATGCTAGTTTTCTATTAAAGAATATGTGTACAAAATAACTGAAAGTAATAACAACAACAACAAAAAAAAAAAAAAAAAAAAAAAACGAGAGAGAGANAAAAAACTGAAAGTAATAACAAATAGGTAGGTTTTAGATTTACATGCTTCATGCAGGAAGCCTGTTCAACGGCTTTATAGTGGCGACCCTGCTGTAATCGGGCTTCGAGTATTTCTCGTAAGTCACTTTCAAAAGACTTGTTTTAGCAGCTTTGTGAAACTTCAGAATCATCTCCGCACAATCCCTGGCAGAAAATTTAGAAAGTGGGACTTAAATTTTAAAATCTATGAACCCGAAGTTCCAACAACAAAAGCAACATCTAACAAAACCGGGAAAAAACAAACCTGATCTTAGATTCTTCATATCGTGCATGCTTTGCTAGGAGTGGGGTCCAGTAAGGAGCCATTTGCATCGTGCATCGTGCAACATAGATAGCAGAAGCACACAGCATAGAGGCCTTGTAGTTCAAAGCTTCATATTCGACTAAGCACAGCTCAATCAGGTAAAAAGCCAGGTGNAGGAAAAAAAAAAAAAAAAAAAAAAAGAGAGAGAGAGAGAGTTCTCAAACATGAGGATAAATCTCATTTGGGAAGGACCAGATTAATTTGTCCAAATATAGGTGGTAACTGATATGCCTCATTTTTAGTTCCTAAAAGGATGAAATTAAACAAAAATAGACATGTAATAAAAGGAAATATGCATTTAACAAAATTAGTTGCACACACCTTCATGTCTGACTGAGCAGCTTTGAGAAACCTAAGCATGAAGACATAGGGTGTTGGCTCATTAAGACGGAACTTTAATTTCTTTAAGATTGCCTTTTCCTGATATTTGAAAACAAAACAAACATTACATAATATTTAGCCACTTGATCAACTACAAGTAAACCTTAGAATAAAAGAATTTGAAGAAAATAATATTCACACTGACTACTGATTTTGCAGATAATGAAAATTTGATTCTCCACATTAATACAAAACAAATAAAAAAGAAGGGTCTGCACCATCTTAAGCATTTCATCCCTACTATATGACTCCGCTGAGATGCTTATCAAGTCAGTGACCTGTAATTAACGTACAGAAAAGTCAAGTGAGGAAGTATTTCACAATCAACAAACTGCCTATACTCAAAAGACACAGTAGGATTTGCATGCATGAAATTCTTTACCCGAGGATGCCAAAAGTCTTCGTACTTAGATGCCAATAGGAGAGCAGTAAGCCCGACTAACTGCATTTCATTTTTTCTGATGCTCTCAAGGGAAAGGTACCGATCTAAGAGGGTAACAGTAAGGAAAAGAGTTTCTTCCATCAAATCAAACCTTAAATGGACCTGTGATCAAGATGAAAGTAGTAAGGAAAAAAAGAACAGGAAGCTGCCGAAGCCAGTAAAAAAGATAAAAAACGAAAAAAAAAAATATATATATATGCCATAAACGAAGAGCGAGAAAACAACCTCGACAAGCCAATTTATCAGTATACCACGCATTTGTCGGGTAATATCTCTCTGTTTTTCCATGTAGTTCTTTAGTAGAGGATTTTGACCCTGCAATAGGATGTTTGATAAAGTAGAGCATAACTTAATAACAGGACAAACAGATAAAGAGGTAAAAATGAAAAATGTTTTAAATCATACAAAATGGAACAAACTAACCTCCATAACCCAATAATACTGATAGATATCATCAACATACTCACAAACTTCAAGATGATTACGGTCATCATAGATACTAGGCAAAGTTTCCTCAGAAGGAACTCTGCTATGCTCCTTTAGAAACTGCAGAAGTATGTCTTTGATTAGCATCATAGAAAATAAATTAATTGTAATCAGGGGCCAATAAGGTAAATACTACCTTTGATCTAGACACTAGTGAACCTGTATATGAATTCCTGCGATCAGACTTTCTCCTTAAAATGACAGTACTACCGGAAGTATCCTCCTCTAGTGATGGTTCTTCCTGGGATACAAGAGAATGGATATTCTTTCCCTGCTCTCTCTTGGATAAATCAGCAGGTTTTGACCTCAAATTCTTCGTGGTTAACATGTGTTTTGGTTTTGTGTTTGTCTGAGCATTAAGAGATGTCGCTGTAGCTTTCACAGTGGGCTGGAAATATGATAAAACATAAATATCTCAATATAAGAGGATATAATCTGCATAGACTTAGGTATTGCAAGCATTGTAAAGTTTACAAGTTTATGAAGGCTAGTTGGATGCCAATAACTTCCTAAAGTTCATTGCCATGGAAAAAAAGTAATATAATTACCAAAATATGCGTACACAAAAGTTACAAGCAACTACTTGAGAGAAACTAAGTTCCCAATATTCATTTGTTCTCCAATATGAACGTAAATAGAAAATACAAGGAAAAAGAAAAAAACACAATTTTTTTTACTTGCAGTCAACATTTACTGCACCTTACATTATAAATGCTGGAAATAAGTTTATTTACCTCAGAAAATATCTAACTGCAAAATAAAAATAGACGCATGTTCATAAACAGCTGAGGTATAAATGGCAACACAGACTTAGATGTTATTCCCATCCGCTGGTGTATCTTTTCTTTCTACTCCCACAAACAAAGAGGTACCAACATCCATAACTTATATAATTAAATTTAGTTCTCCAGGAATAGACAATTCAAATTAGTGAGAATAAAAAAGCAAACGATAATTCAAAGTGGAAACTAAAAAAAAGGTTTGAATATGATAGTGTCTCTCTGTGGACTAAGTAATTCCAAAGAGGCCATACAGATGCTATGAAGCACAACTGATCGTAGTTAAGTTTGTTGCTAGCTCTATTCATTACGAAAATTTTGATTTTGATAAATTCTTACAACCAAACACCTGCCACAGGTAGGATGGAGTCAATGTACAAAACTTAAAGACAATGCCTTTCTAATTGCCTACACGGCACATAAATGTAATCCCGACAAGTTCATGCAGATTAAACCTTCAGAAAATCTGCTCCCATGTACAAAGTTCCTCATCTCAAAAACTCCAATCATTGCTCAACAAATAATAGCATTAGTGAGAAGACATCATGGTTTACAAGTGCAAACAGGTCCATTATTGATGGCCAACCCAAACAAAATTCATGCAATATAAAAATTAAACATGACCAATGACAAAGAACACTTCGATCAAAGTAACAATTGGGTCACATAGTACTGCAATGGGGTTAAAATGAAAAACTACAACATTCTTCGCTTACTTTAACAGATTTTCTTGATAATAATCTAGCATCCACCTTAGTTTGAGCTCTTGATGCCCTGATAAATACATGCCAATGTAACAAACATAAAAAGTCAGCATCCACCTTAGTTCGAGTTCCAGATGCCCTGATAAAGGCATGCCATGCCATATTACAAACAAAAAAAGTTATACAACTAAAACACACATTTCAATTTGTTTAGAACACTAGATTGCTGTGATCTATTTAACTTTTAGTACATTACTCTAAGAAAATATGCTGCTTTACTAAGTTCCAAGTAATCAAATATTCGATTAAAAGCTAAAAATGGATGTGAATTAAAAATTGCCAGAGTACTGGCTAAGAAGGAGACTGCGACAAAATGACGAATGAGTGGGTCATAAAGGAGAAGTAACTCTATGTTACCAAGAGAAAGACCTAGTCCATGGTTACCAAATTCATACAAATGAAACATAACATTATTGTTCAGATGGACATATTGGGATGAACACTTTCCACAAATAGACTGACCCATATACTCCATTAGAGTATCTGAGTTAAGATGCGAAAATTATTTTACAGCTCCAAAAAGAAAAGAGATGGGCAATCAACCAGTGTGACATACTAATTTTATCTCCAATTTTTAGTCAGTAAATCATTTAAGGTTCCACAGCTTCAGATGAATCCACCACAAGTGTGCTGGTTCTACATTCAGGAAGAACACAGTTCAACACTCAAACTGAAAAACATTAATCATTGCATATGTAGACTCCAATTCACATTCCCTACTCCAACTTCTATGTAAATGGATGAAGCTTGTAGTGTTATTGAAAAAATGCACACACAGAACAAATAGCATCTGTTTTTTCTACTGATACAAGAAGTCCCCTTGAAATGAGTAGAACACGCACCACCTCAAGATAAAATTATTAACTGACAGACTCATTGCTCAGAAGCTCAAAATGGCAAAGAGTTCATCATTTTATATGGCGACTTACATTACTATGAAGCCATCACTAACTCTGTTCCCCCAAGGACGGCTTTTCACAGTGCTTGGCTTTGGTACCGTGCTTCTCTTGACACTGGGCCTCACTGAAAGCAATAAAATTTAGCATCATTAATTAGATTCACATTCATGAATTTCTGTCGGTCGAAATACCCATTCAGGATCAGCCTTAGCAAAAGAGCTCACCAGGGAAGCCATGCTTTCCACCAATTTTATCTGACTTCTCAGAGTTATCCTGGAGCAACATGTATTAGAACTACGTCAAACTCACAACATAAATATAAGTCCATGGTTATAAAATTAGAAGTGGGATCATCAAAACCTTTGCTGTGCCACTTGTTTCCACCCGGATGGCCTTGTTTAGTGCTGGTAAAGATTTTCTTCCCGTAAACAACAGAACAGGCATGTCAATACTCAAATCATAACAATTAAAAAAGTCAACAGAAAACTAAATGCTACTCCTCTAACCTTGTCAGATGGAGAGGAATTCCAGCGGATTTTCTAGAAAACAAGTGTTAAACAAAATCCTTAAGTACATATATCAATTACCAGGTTAATAAGAAGGTTAACATAAAACACCATAAAAAAGGAAAAAAAAAAAAAATCTACAGCTGAAAATCTGGCAAAAAAAAAAGTGAAGCACATAGAGCATACCTGCCAGAAGCAGCTGCAGAGCTACGGCCTTGAAATTTGGTCCTCAATTCATGTGGAGGTTTAATGCTTTTTCTGACAGCTGCCAGCCAGCAAAAGGAACACATAAGAGAGAGAGCATGTTTACATCAACTCATACTGTAGGGACAAGAAACCAAAACTTACTCTTCCTTAGAGTTTGGTTGTCATCTGTAACTTGAATCTGGTGAAATCTTGTGTTATCCTATTTAAAAGACAAACTCAGAGCCTGGCTGCTTGACGAATAAATATATGGCCGTGAATTGCATTGATGTGAGTATATGGATAAAATGGAGCGAAACCAATATGTGAAAAGTCAATACAAAACAATCAGCGCAATGCTGCTAGGGATTTGATGATTTACTTAACTTTTACTAAGTTAAGGGACACCCTTAAGACAAGGCATGGAGAGAGTTGGTCTATACTGACTGTTTAACAACTAGGAGAAGCCAGTATAGCACTACAACTAGGAGAAGCCAGTATAGCACTACAACTCTAAAGATGGCATGTATGCCGTCAAAATTCGTTCACGTACCCTTGATTGTTTGTCTGATGTACTAGGTTCCATGTTGCCCATATCCACTGCATCTCTGTGAAACCATCAGAAAATAAATTAGAAAACGAACCATGCAAGTAAAGAAAATAAATAGCAACAGAGTGGCTAACGTCCAAGAAAAAGTTATCAACTAAAAGAAATTCATTTATGACACTTAGAGAGATTACTCTAGCGAGATAATACTTACCTCTCTTGAAACACCATCTGTTCACTTTTGCCCTTCCTGCAGTAATGTAAGCATGAGAATAACAGAATCTCAAAATTCAATGTCATTTTAGATTCATAATATACCTTCGTGGACACAGCATTGCATCGCTTTTTCCCTTCCTGCACCTGCAGCAGGCTGGTGTATTAGAATGACATAACTTAACAATATCACAATATTTGAATTTTTCTCTTAATTCTCTCTGTTTCTTAACTTCTCTTTACTTAGGAAGTACATAAACAATAAAATAAGTTTCTTGGTAAGGAAAATGGAAATGATACCTATTCATTGGAGGAAAATTTGGCAATATAACAAGAGGCTAACTAAAATCAGGGATTTGTTATTTTGCTAAGAAGACTACTTAAACATAATCCACTTTGATTACTTCAAATTCTCACAGATACCCTCTTGAAATTCATCCAATCCAGAACTACTACTGAAAAATTATGTTTGAGGTGCAACATCACTTACCCTGACCAGGAGCTTTTTTTCTTTTCAGTCTTTGAAAATGTGCTCCTCCTCACATTGCCAATATCACCTAAAACTTTTCTACCTGCATTTTCTGTCACTGCAATGAGCAGTTTCAGTCACTGCAATCAGCCAAAACTTTTCTACCAATTCTTTCCATGTATCTGACATTAATCATTGCAAATACCAGACCTGGCTTGATTTTGCTTATCCCTGATTTCTTGATGATTTTCTAGAGATAGTAACATGAAAATAGAAAAGGACACTCATCGTGAGAGATGTAGTAAGCCCATAATGTACAATACACTAACAAAAGAAAAAATATACGGACCTTTGCATCGGCAGTGAGTGGATACTGCTCCTTGCCATGTGTCACAGACTTGCCTCTGTTATTTATAAGAACAAAGATAGAAAGTAAAAAGGCTTAATCAAACAACAAGACGAAGAAGCGAATGGCTACTTGTTGTCCAGGTAACACAAAATGCTAAATAATATGTAATTTTTTATTTTTTTTTTTGGAAAAAAGGGGAAATAAAGAGGAGTCCTTGGAGGCCTAGGTCATGTTATAAAAGCATTAAACTGTAAAAAAGCGCAATGGAAACTTACTAAGCCCTAACCACACCTCAGGACAAGCTTAGTTAACAATAACATTTAAAAAAAGGTGAACAATAAACTGATGAACACTTACTTGTAAGCATTGTTGAGAGACTGACGGTTTGTAACGTTGTCAGATTCCACATAAATCTTCAAATTCTTCACTTCACCTGCCTCAGAACAAAGTACATGCAACTAAAGCTAAGCTACAATAATATGAACAGGGAATACAGTAGTTTAATCTATGATTCAAGAAATTACCAGTGCTACTCATTTTCGGGCCTTGAGTTGCACGATCTTTGAGATAACTCAATCGTTCCTAAAGAGTCAGATAATCCCAAGAGTCAGATTTCCCAAGAGTTGCTACTCATTGTCTAATCCCAAGAGTCAGATTTCCGTTTGATATCTAAAGAATCACACAAACGCGCACACACACACAAAAGATACAATGAATACACCCCAGATCTGTATTAGGTTCTTTTTGGTCATCAAATATACATTAATAAACAAGCAGAACTCATGAATTACCCAATATCACTCGTCTTGAATCACAAGATACCCAATTTTAACTCGTCTTGAATCTAATCTAGGGTTCCTTCAAAACGTTGATTGTCAATGCCGTAAAGGACCAGAAAAGGAGGATCGGAAAATATGTCAAAGAGAAACTAGTGTTTTCAACAACAGTACCTTAACAGCCACCATTTCTTTCTCCGCCAAATTCCTTCCCAGTTGATGCCGACGATAAGCTCTTTTCACGATCCTAACAGATGATTATTCCAAAACCCTACTATGGCAAACTATTCGATTGCTAAGAGGGAAATTTCAGTAATGGCTTGCCATATTCTCATTTGAATTAATTTTACCGTTGGGTGCAAGCATACAAATACCGCCCTTTTCAATGTTTGAAACTTTGAATGCATACCAAGAGTGAATTCCTTATTTGTAGTTTTGTTACTTTTTCACGCTTGATTAACTTTGTCATTCTTGCATTACTTTGTATTTATTTTAATTTGAATTTAATTAATTTTTATTATTTATAGTTATATTATAATAATAAATGATTGATTAAATATATATTATGAACATTTAGTTCCTTTTTAGCTAATAAATCACACAATAAATTTTAAATATTAATTAATTCTTTTAGTATTATATATTTAATACCCAAAATAATTGTTTATATATGTTTTTGTATATTAGCATAAATTTTCACTTACATGGAATTCTTGGACAAGGCCAATTATGGCTATTATTAGGCACTGGACCAGATACAAAATAATACCACAAATATTTATTTATATTAAAATAAAATTTAAAGAATCTCTCTCTCTATATATATATATATAAATTTAGGCTATTCTGGTTGGTATTAATTATTATATTGATAATATTGAAGGTAGTGATGTTGAATTAAAATTGAATTAGATTTTTAATATGTATTGAGCATGAAATGAGTTATTTAATATACAAACGTACCCTACCCTTCACAATATAGTAACGGACTTTTACCCAATTTGCGTTCTCCATAAGGTGAATGTTATGTTTGATAAAACTAGCTGATAACCTAGCTTATAGCCTATAAATAATTTTCGAGCTTATAGTTTATAGCTTATGATTTGTAGCTGAAAATGTAGTTTGTATGATAAAAGTGTTTGGTAAAATAGCTGATAAACTATCTGAAATCAAAATTTCAACGAGCTTATTTGAAAAGCTACTTAAAAAAGCTTATGAGATAAGTTCAGTCTTTTTAAAAAAACTCATTCTACCAAACAAATCTTATTTAAATACAAAAAACTTATAAACTAACCAAATAAGTTAGAAGTTAATTTATTTGTCTACTAAATATAGCCATGGAAGAGCAAAAGAGAGTAACGTTATCAATAGTTACAATCAGGGCCAGCATATATGAGGCCCAAAATAGCTTCAATGAATGTTGAGGCCCAAATAAATAAATGCCCTGCATAAGTAGCTGAACACGAACTTGGAGAAGAAGAAAAAGAAAGAAAACAGAACAGAAATATACTCCACGCCTCCGTCGCGCTCAGTCCACGGTCCGCCCCCAATCGGCCGACGGCGACCCGCATCCGGCGCGGCGAACTCGTTGCCACAGTTTAAGAGGTAATTTCCTACTTCCTAATCGTCTAACCCCAATTGCCCTAATCACTAACACAGAAATTTCTTTTGAAATGTTTGTTTTGTTATATAATGTTGTAGAACTATATCTTGTGAAACTGAAACATTAGATAAGCTCGATTTTTTGTTTTTATGAATCGAATATAACATCTTCGGGCTCATGATTGTTTTTAAATGGTTAATTGCTTTGCTAAAATTGTTAAATAGGTGATATATTTTTTTTAATATTTTGTTATGTGTATGTGAATGAATTGACAAGTGTGGATTTGAGTGCTTTTATTTATGTTTCAGGATAATTAAATTTCAAAGACCCTGCCAGAATCTTGATCAGAGAGAAAATAAGGTAGGATCAAGAAATGAGCTTAATAAAGAGCAGCTTCTCATTCATGGTTGGCACAGCATTCGGAGTTTATGTAGCCCAGAATTACAATGTGCCCAACGTTCGGAAGCTCTTTAACACTGCCCTTTTGATTACCAAGCACATTGAAGAAAATTATCGCAAGCCCAAAAAACGTGAGGATGATGAATAGAACTCAATGCTGGTTTAAACATGTGTCAACTGATGCCTACCAAGTAGTTGTGGTAATTGCCTGTTAGTGGTTCCCCTTACTTCAACCCTCCTTTTCCCTCCTATGAAAGAATTTTACTGGTATTGCACAATTTGAATTCTAGAGATATTGGTATTTACACCAGTGGTTATGAACAATAGTGGCACAGTCAATGTAAAAGACATAATTTTATTTATTTTTTATTTCCCAAGAATTGATAATTTTTGGAACTTTAGTTATGTTTTGAATTGATATCTTAGATCATATTTACTTATGTTTTGTTGTTATAAGTTACGTCTGCAAGTTGTTGTTCTGTTTGAGGTTTCTGCAAATGGCAGACTAGAATATCTGAGTCGTTTGATGGCGATTACCCTGCCAGGGTGTACTCTTAACCAGTTGATCATTTTCGAAGTTGAGGCATAGTTTGCTCGTGAGTTACAATAGACATAGGCCTATAGAAGATGTTGCTCATTATAAGAAACATAGCTGATCTCTTTAATTGACCGGCATGAGGTTGTATTCTTGTTGAGGTTGATTTCTTATTTTGTGACACATTCAATTCAATTTGTATGGTGTCTGTTATGGGTTGTTTTGGTACATGTATTGCTATATTATGGTTTTATTTGTCACTATAAATTCAATGTCATCGAAGGCCTGGTTTCGAAATTTGTTAGATTGGTTTTAAGTTTTCTTCTATTGTCCAAACATGGTGTTCTCTTCATTTTTGATTTTATGGATTGCTCAAGTGAAGAGTAAGTACTTCTTCTTTGTGAGTGATAATAAGCGAAAGTGTCCGCGAATTTCGCAGATATGTTCGTCTGCCCTTCGAATGAGAATCACTTATTAGTTTCTCAGAATTAGATGTGGATATATATTCTGGTTCCTTCTTTGAGAATAGAGATGTAGCTTCTTTTAGGTTCTCTTGGCCTTTGATATAATTTTTCTAAAGCATGCAACTTCACAAATTACTATCCATCCTTGAGTTGGATTGAGAAATTGATTGAGAGAAATTGGGTTAATAATTATGCATTGGCGGGGTGCGTATGAACGAGTTTTCTTGTTTGCACTTTGATGTTCTATTTCGTGTTTCATTCAACTGGATGAATGACATCTACTTAATGACGTCATATTGGTGTATGTGTTATACAACCAATGGAACGGAAAACAAAACGAACATGACAATAGGAGATCCTATTCGGCAAAATATATTCTTGGTTGGTATGTGGAAAAAAGAATTAGCAAGAGTTGAGGCTTCCAAGGGAAACCAACAAATATTGTTGTTATCTAGTCGAGCTTGGACGTTTCGAACTCGTGTTCATTTATGTTCAAACATAGTTCGTGTTCATTTATTTAATTGTTCTTCAGAGTTCGTCGTGCTCGAGTAATTTAGTAAACAATTTTTTTAAAAAAACAAATTATTTGATTAAGAGATCTTTACGTTCCAACTTGTTTGAGTTTGAAAATTAAAAATAAAATAGAAATATTTACATATGTTAGGTTTTTTTTTTAATAAAAATCGTAAATATAAATATAAAAATAATATAATGTTATATTAAATTAATGTTTGTAAATATTGGTGAACGTCCGCTGAGCTCGTATTCGTTCAACTCCAAATAAAATATAAAGAATCTTTTATTCCAAAGAGTGATACAAAACATAAAATGTAAGGCAACTTTCATTAATATCGAGATAAAGTAATATGAAACATACAATGTAAAGTAACTTTTATGCCAAAACAGAAAGTGATATAAAACATATGGAGGGGTATCGAACGTAGAATTCAAAAGAATTTTAAGTTGTGTATTTGAATGGATGAGAGATTGAACTTGAATTTGTGAGAGAATTATTCCTTCACAATTTTACGTAGAGTTCTATGAAAATTCATGGAATTCCGTTAATTAAAAAAAAAAATAACAACTATTTTGAAGCATATCACTTTGAGGATAAATAAATTTTATAGAAATTATCATAATCCATGTTGAGGATCGTAGAATTATAATGAATTTATAGAATAATTGGATGAAATTGTTCGATTATTGAAACTTGGACTAAAAGAACCATAAATTAATTAACACTAACACGCCCCTCGTGTAATTAGTTTTGACAGATAATTATATTTCGATTTATAATAGTACATATAATTATTTTTATTTTATATGTGTACGAATGTCAAATCAAATATAATAAAATAATGATTAATTTAATATATAAATTATTAAATTTTATGTTACATTTATAACTGAATTTAGCCAAAAAAAAAAATTCCCAAACTCACGTGGATTATTTCGAAGCAATTGACAATTAGGGTTATGACTACTTTGAAAATCATAAATTAATGCATATAGTTATAAAATCCTAGAAATTAACACATGAGGTTATGAAATACCAAACGTTAATTTATGTATAAATAGGGATTAAACAAGAAAAATTGTAGTAAAGAAATGAGTCCGTGGTGTAAATATTGTTCTATAGTCGTCCATTTGAGTCCAATCAAATTAGTCAAATTTGAAAAGATCAAAACACAACTTCAGCGGACAGAAAACCTTAATAGGCGAGAGCATTATTTCATGTAATTTCTTGTCATGCAGCTGCAGGTGGGGCCACCAAATCAAAGCAAATGTTGAAAAAGCAGAAAAGAAAAAAAAAAATGGCAATAAAAGACGAAAAATTTATTATAATAGACTAAGAAAGAGATGGAAAAAGGCATTATTATTTATACCTGGACATAATTACGACATCGTGAGGTAATTTAGCTACTGCCACAGTTGAGGTATGCGAAATAAAAGGTTGAAAATACTGCTGTTATGGGCTTCAATGACAACATTTTTCTCCACAGCCCCCCCACCAAATAAAGTTTGATGATAAGTACATCAATTTCCGAAAATGGTCATTACCACCTTTCCCCTCTTTCCATGTCGCCTAACCTTTTTCTTTTCACGTTTTTAGGGAATTGTGGTGTGATCTGTTTCGTGTGATTATGTGTAAAATGCCTTATGATTAATGTTATGATGTTATTTTGGTAAATAATATGGAATTTGATGAGAGTTTATCCAATGAAATAACGAAATACGTAAATCTATAGTCAGTGGCGGATATAGAAATTTTTAGGCAAAAAAATATTTTTACTTTTTTTTAGTTTTGAACATATTATCCATACAATAAAAAAATCTACATAATTTTTGTTTCAATTTAAAAAGTATATAATTATCGTATCAGGCGGTCTAATAGTTAGGTGGGTTAACTCATCTTCTGAATAAAAATGCTTATTAATGTTATACAAAATCATACTTTAATTTATATTATTTTTATATGTCTATTTGATTGATTTAAAAATATGCATATCTGTTGAAAAAGTATGAATGTATAACCGTTAGACATATCTTACAAGAACTTTATTATATTATACATACGCTTGGCCTCTGAAGATGAGATCTCAACCGAATTGCTTGAAGTTGCCAACTAAAAACGAGACAGACTTGCGTTACTCTAAGAACTAAAAATCGATAGAGTTAATTTGATATTAGAAATTTAATGACATTATTAGTATAAAGAATTTAGCATTGAGCTTAATTGTTGAGAAAATATGAAAGTGTGTTCTTATATCTCAATTTTTTTAATAATTATTATAATGACTATTGTGTTGTTTAATAACCAATGAGTTGCATAAAATTAAGCCATTTGATTTTGCACCCAAAACAAAAGTAAGATGTCATGTTTTTTTCACTATCTAATTTTATTTGTCTTTTTTTATACAATTCATTGAAGAAAATAATTACCAATTATGTTTATGAGTGAAATGTGATTGCCTAGGCTGGACAATGTATCAATCCGTCATTGTCTATAGTGAAATAAAATATCTGATTCCTTAATTTAAAAGATAAAATCTCATGTTTGATGTTTCACGTGTACAAATATGACCTCATTATGTATGTTTTATCCAAATGAATTAAACATGTAATTCTACGAATATTATATGATCATGAAGTTATAAAAACAAGGAACAGATACCCAAATTACGTGTTGCTTAACTATGTCGGAAATGATATCGTTTGCTTGTATTTACTAATTGACTTGATTAATGTATTTGATGAAGGAATTAATCCAAACTCATTTCGACCAACAACACCAATCAAACTCACAGTACCAAGTTTGGTTCAATTGATAATTTTAATTTGATCCCGAAGAATTTATATTATTAATCATTTTGAAATAATGATCACAGTTCTATCTTGACAAGTACAGTACCAAGCATATAGGACACTATTGCTATTTGCTAAACAGAAAAAAGTACATATCATTGTTTGTTAGCTTTTTCTCATATTGACCATCACCAATATCCATATATATAAATAAACACATAGCTAACTAGCCNACACATCAATATAAGCACTCAATACTACACACACATCCATTCATCCATCCTTCACTTATCTACTTGACCTTTTATGTTGTTCCAATTTTTGATCAAATTAATTTTACAAACATCTCATAATTTCTCAATTCTCCCAACAATGATCACCACTATCAAGTTCAAGCTAGCCGCCATTGCCTCAATCCTCGCCGCTGGGGCCCTCGGAGTGGGCCTCCCCCTATTGGGCCGGAAAATCTCGGCCCTACGGCCCGAAAACAACATATTCTTCATGATCAAGGCCTTTGCGGCCGGAGTCATACTCAGCACTGGCTTCGTCCACATACTTCCAGACGCGTTCGAGAGCCTTAGTTCGCCAAACCTCGACGAGAATCCGTGGGGGAAGTTCCCCTTTGTGGGTTTTGTTGCGATGCTTGCCGCCATAGGGACGCTTATGGTGGAGACTTTCGCCACGAGCTTCTATAAAAGGGTGCATTTCGAGAAGGGGAAAAATCGGGCGAATCACGTTGTGGACGAGGAGGGTATTATTGGAAGTGGAAATGATGACGTGGAGCACACGGGGCATGTGCATGTGCATACGCATTCAACGCATGGTCATGCCCACGTGTCGTCTCATGATGATGGCGTCAGCGTCTCGGACCTTGCTCGACAGCGCATAATATCACAAGTAAGACAGAATAGTTAGTTTTTTTTTTTGGTTGTGAAAATTGCGATTTTGGATTGGATGATTAATTATTTTATTAATTTTTATTTTGTTTGGGGAAGGTTTTGGAGATTGGGATTGTTGTGCACTCGGTGATAATTGGAATATCATTAGGGGCTTCACAGAGTTTAGATACAATAAAGCCTTTGTTGGCTGCTCTGTCTTTTCATCAGTTTTTTGAAGGGATGGGACTTGGTGGCTGTATTTCACAGGTATTATTACTAATTAATTACTTCCCTTTATGTGTACATAGTTTGACATTTTTTTATTTTTATTTTTTATTTGTTTGAAATAATTAACGTTAAATGTTGTCATAATGTGCTCATAGGTATGTTGTCATTATGTCTATTCTGTTTATCTAAAGAGAATGCAATTCCCATTCTCAGTCACCAGTCCCCACTTCTTTTTTGACACTTGATTAATTATTGACAAGAACAGGATTCTTGATTTTGCAATTTACTTTATTATTTTTATAAATTTTTTTTTTTTTGGTTGATTTTTTAAATGATTAATTGTGCAGGCAAAATTCGAGTCGGTGACGAGGACAATAATGATGGTATTTTTCTCCCTCACCACACCAGTGGGGATTGGTGTGGGGATAGGAATTTCGAGCTTTTATCAAGAAAATAGCCCGAAAGCCCTTATAGTTGAGGGTATTTTCAATTCGGCTTCGGCTGGAATATTAATTTACATGGCACTTGTGGATTTGTTGGCAGCAGATTTTATGAACCCAAGGATGCAGAGCAATGTGAGGNCTTGCAGAACCATTATTCAACACTAATCACTATCAAATACCTGTTTTCTATAGATTATTTTCCACACATCCACAGATTAATCAAATCATTATTATATAATTTGTAAATTATTTAATATTTCAGAAGCATCATACAGGAAAAAATGAACTAATTTGAGGAGCTTTAACATCAAGTTGAGTTAGTAAACATATAGACAACAAAAATATACAATGGCTTGTAAATGAACTTTATTAGTGGTAAATATTCATGGATAGATCCCTCCTTTAGATGCTCCCCCTTTTCAATAAAGAAGCTAAGATAGCCAATCAGATGGAACAAATACGGGTTGAATGTATGGAAGAAAACAAATCATTCCCTTGCAGAGATAATAATATTCTTTGCTTCAAGTGCAGCCTATTATATTATATTGGAGCACATTGAACTTTTCTGACCTGCTAACATCCAATGATCCAAATTGAAAATTTGAAACAGCTAATGTAACTCCTGACAGAGTCAAAAAAAGAACAATAAACTTGAGGTTCCTCATGAACTCTAATTACGATTGACCTGAAAGTGAAAGTGAAAAGATTCATGATAGCTTCATTAGAATAATAATAAGAAAAAGAAAGACGTTATTGGCTTCACCAAATTAATATATTCTGTCTCTACGAATGATCATCTAACTAATGATATATATTCCAGCTATGTTCAATGCATAAGAGAAGATATTTTAGGTTTGCCAATTCTCACAAACAGAATAAATGAGCAAGTGGGGATGGTTCTATAACAAATTTCAATAATATGAGACACTAAATGAGTAGGCAATAGAAAAATAAGAGACGGAAGTTGTTAAAAAGTTGTCGACATTAGTGCTGCAAACGAATCGAATTCGTTCGAATACGTAAGGGCTCGTTTGTTGAATAATCGATCCGAGCTCGAACATGTAATTCAGGTCGTTTATTATTCGAACGAACACGAACAAATTCATTTCGAGATTTACATAAAAAGAAAATTTGACTAGTCAATTATTAGGTGTGGTCAAGAGACCCAAAACCTATAAGTGTAATTGTATTAACATAAATATTAATTGAAAATTTTACACTTATTTTTTTAATAAACTTTATTTTAAAATTTTAAATATCTTTTAAATATTTACTTTTTTAATTTTAATTAAAATGATACATTTTATCTATAAAATTTGTCTAATAATGCAACTTATATCATGCACTGATAGACTATTTTATTATTTTGTAATTAAGCTTGATTATATATTTAGTTTTTATTATATATGTATATATATATATTATATATATATTATATATATATATATATATAATGTGAATGTCAAATCTAGAAATGTCAAAAGATAATTAATTTAAACATATTATATACATTAGAGTAACTTCGGTGTTGCTCTACATTGCAACTCGACTTTAGAATAGCACGAAAAACTTGCTTCAATGTTGTTCTAAATTTTTGCACTACTCTGAATATATGAATAGTATGATGTAGTGTGACACTATTCACCTTGCTGCAATTTTTTCTTTTCTAAATTTTTAATTTTTTATTGATTTTTATTTCTAAATATTATTTTGAAAAAACATACATCAATAAATTATTTATTTTTTTATAGAATTGTAAATTTTGATTTTATAACAGTATCTAAATTTTATTTTGTACTAATATATTTCATGTAGTAAAATGTATTGACTGAAGACGATAAGTAAATTTTGACATTTCTACTTTAGAATTCAGCCCAACAAGACACTTTGCTGAGCCGAAAGGCAAAATGCTGCTCGGAGCTCGCTTCCTCGCGTCGAGAACGCTCACCGTCTCTGCCGCCGCGCCACCCAAAGCCACAACGCTTCAAGAAATTGCTTCCAGTCACTCTAAAAGTGGTAAAAGCAACTATCGCATTAAATAACTGATAATTTTCCACTTGCTTTATATCTTTTAGTTTGGATTCTTGAGTTTTTCTTTGAAATCCGGAAAAAAAATATCGAGATTGTGCTGGAAATTATTCGCTCCTGTACCTTTATCTATTTAGAAGAGCAAACCATGTTATTGAATGTCAGTTTGGTGTCTTTTGGTTTGTTTTAGTCAGTACCTTTATCTATTTATAGGGGAAATGTATTTTGCTTACCTTGGATAATTACCACTGATGTGATGTACATTATTCTGCTTTATCAATGTAGCGCATTTGTATTATTATTTGAAGGAAATTATGAACAGGCATTGCTAAGGTTGTCCTGAAAAAGGGTAAAACTCAATTGTTCAAAGATGGTAGCCCAATTGTATACAGCGGTGCTGTTGATAGAATAATTGGTAGGCCGCCACCTGTAACAGGAGACGTTGTTCTTGTAACTGATGGGACAGAAAAGCCAATCGGCTGGGGTTTATATAATTCAGTCTCTATGTTTTGTGTCCGCCTAATGCAGCTGGAAGATGAAGCAACTCGGTATTTTTGTTTCTGTTTTCTTTTTCAAAAAGTGTTCTGGTTATTAATGGTGTGCTTTCTGAAAAAAAAAAATGTAAAAAAGCATTAAAGTATTTGTAGTTGATGTGTACAGAGACCCTTGTTGTGCTCTGGATGTGGAGAAGTTGCTTGAAACTAGAATAATGGATGCTGTTGCGTTAAGAGAGCGTGTTGGGCTTCCTTCAGCCCAAACAAATGCATATCGTCTAGTTAACAGCGAAGGAGATAGGTATAATTCTCTATACTTGTCGCCTTTCAAGTAATCGTGTGCACTTACTACTTAGAGATTAATTAATGGATTTGTGATATGATTGGTATTTGTTATTAACAAATAGATGTAATGTTATGCAATATAAGCATTCAGGTCTTGCTACCCTTCATAATTCTTGATTACCTAGTTTTGCCTTCGAGTTGTTTAGGTTTGTCCTGAGCAAATCCTTTGATTTATATTTCACTCTGAGCAAATCCTTTGATTTTGTCCAAATTAGTGATAAAATGATAATTTTTCAAGTTGATAGGGATTATGTTGCAGGTTGTCTGGCCTCATCGTTGATATATTTGGATGTGAAGCAGTGATAGCCTCTTCAGCTGCATGGGTTGAAAAGTACAAGGAACAAATAAAATATTACATCAGCAAAATAAGCAATGTACACCATATAACATGGAGGCCATCGGTTGATATCTTGAAAGAGGAAGGGTTGGATTTGTCTGATTTGGAGGGTATAAATCTATCGAATTCTCCCAGAATGGCAAAGGTTAAGAAAGAAATCCATGTGTAACTCGTCTAGAAATCAAATCTCATGTCTATAGATTTTTATTTATTTATATTTACTGTTATTATTATTTTGGTCTTGTAATGACCATATGTTTGTGTGTCAAAAACCAGGTTGTGGAGAATGGCCTTTCCTATTTAGTCTCTTTGGAGGGGCAAAAAACTGGCTTCTATGCGGATCAGCGTGAAAACCGTCAATATATATCATCAATTTCAAGGGGTCAGAAAGTACTCGATATATGCTGCTATACTGGAGGTTTTGCCCTTAATGCAGCTAGTGGAGGTGCTCTTAGTGTGACTGGTAAGTAAAACATTAGCTTTTACAGAGACTAAATCTAAGTAGATTTATCCCAAACACAAAAGACTCCGACCATTTTCCAGTATAACAAACAACTTCTAATCGTCTTTCAAACGACCTCAGAGATTTGTTGTTTAATTGGTAAAACAGAAACAAATGTCAAGCGAGCTTTTGTAATTCTTAAAGACTTTTTATGTTTTGTCTTTTCTTATGCAATTAGACAGAAACTCAGATACAAATTTTTCTACAATCCCTATTTGTTAAGCAAGTATAAGTACGATTCAATAAAATACATTGAGAAGGTAAACTCCAGAAAAGTTAATATTAAGTGACACTATGTAGAAAAATTATATCATGTCCTGTAGAGTGATAAAATCGTATCTCGTTAGCATATGCAATATTCCTGCTTCATCCATCCTTTATTTTTTCTTTTAGTAAAAAAATACTTTTTCTTCCCTGAAGGTATTGATTCATCTGCTCCTGCTATCGAAATTGCCAAGGAAAACGTTATTCTGAACAACCTTGATTCTCAAACAACATCTTTTCTAAGAGAAGATGCTACTCATTTTATGAAGGATTCACTTTCTAAAGGTTATTCATGGGATATAGTTATTCTGGATCCACCGAAACTTGCTCCGCGGAAAAAGGTATCCTAACACCTATTCCCAGGAGTATAACTGCATTGTTTTCTAGTTGAGAAGCTACAAAACTGGTTAAGCCTCTCCAGTATTTAAAAAGACACTGTGTACAGCGTATAAGCTTTTAACCATTTCACAATATGTACCTATCTCAGTTCAATTTTTTTATTGGTTTAAGTTTGGCATAAAACTAAATACTTGATGGCATCTACCTTCAACCTAGTAAAAAGTTGAGACGAATTATTTGATTCCACTATTGTATATAATTCACTTTCTTCTCTAAATACCGCACACACATCCAAACACATTCACATGCACTGTGCAAATTTCATTTGGATGTTACTTTTTCCCCGGCTCATTGAGTGTTTTACTTATATAGGTATTACAAAGCGCATCTGGCATGTATAGGAACTTAAATTCCTTGGCAATGCAGATAACGAGAAGAGGTGGACTGTTAATGACTTGCTCATGCTCTGGAGCTATGACCCAAAGTGGGACGTTCCTCCGTGTTTTACAGGCAAGCCCTTTGGATTTCTATTTCTTTAATATTGGTTTATGTTTTGCAAAGCTGCATCCACTTAATAAGGATTTTTTGGTTAAGCACATGCAAAATTCACAGTTAATTCAATATAACCATTTTGACCCCCTTGTTTAGGGTGCTGCATTGATGGCTGGTAGAAAGATTACAATAGTACGGCAAGCTCGTGCAGGATGTGATCATCCTTTGGACCCTTCATATCCAGAGGGAGAGTACCTCTCCAATGTTTTACTCAGAGTGCTTTGAAAGCTCAATTCTGTATCCAAATGATGGCTTCAGGAACTTAGAGCAAGAGGAATCTCCTAATTTAGTTCAGTTCATTTTTTGAAGTATTAGGATGAGATTTTTTGTTACAGAAACCCACCAAAGAGATTAGTCTAACTTGAGTGTTTGTACTTTGTACTCTCTTGATGGGTGCTTAGGTAATGTGTACTTCAATGATAATTATTATATGATGCAGGATAATGGATGATTTGTAAAATTATGCTGATTCATTGTGATCGATTGAACTGCATCATATTATGTAAATATAATCGAAAAAGTATTGCTTTCTTTCTACTGGCAATTTGTATCGTTATGTTGATATGGTGCTTATTGATCAGAGTGGAGGCATCTTATGATTTAAAGATATTTCAAAGATCGGCTAAAGAAAATCTTCACACCTGATGCTCGATATGTAAATAAAAACGAGTAATCAAATTTACACCTAAGTACATTGAGACATATATCCACTATTCCACTAGTAGTACAAGCTCAATACATTCAAATGAAAACGAATAGTTTAACTCCAAGGACAAATCGAAAGCCAGAACGTGTTAAAGGTCTACATACACAACCTTCAAAACCAAACAAGAACCAAGCAGCTTGTATGCCCATCAATGACCTCCAGGATTCCGGTTCCATGATAAATACGATGGATCTCCAAGTTGCCTGCAAAACATGATACACATAATAATACTATTATACTTGCTATTTCTAGCAATTTGGCTTTAGCTTAATTATAAAAAGCTTCATTTAACTCTCAAGTTTCTATAAATAACAAATTTAAGATGTCATGTCAACCAAAAAAAAATAAAAATGAAAGTGATCGAACAAAAGAGACGTTTCAATCTTCCAAATAGACCCATCTTGAGTGTGCAGATCGTAAAAAAAAAAAAAAAAAAAAAAAACATTGAGTATTGTTATATAAAGCAGAAAATACCCATAGTCAAAGGTGGTACCTTGGTTTAATGAGATAAATAAGCATGAAAACCAAGGCCAAGAAGAAGCATAATCCACCCACTGTGAGATACGCGATACCCACAAAATCATTCTTCCCTCCAAGCCAGCTTGTAGTGGAAAGAACCAGTTTCTTCTTCCCATTGAAACTGTACGTATTATAACGGTTCAAAATTGTCACATTAATAGTGTCTCCAGCTTGAAGATCAACTTCAATCTTCCCATACAATTTCCTGAATGTTGGAAGTGCAGCAGTTCGCATCCAGACAATCAGGTCTTCTTGCTGACTCAACTGTTCAAAAAGAAAATGTTCGGAAGACGAATATCCAATTAGCCCAACAAGAAAAGAAGATAAAATTCAGAAGAGACCATGAAAGAAGCCTACTCGTTGATAAACAATAGTGGTATTCAAGTGAAATATAAGTTTGCGCGATATCTTCAGGTGTATTGTATTGATTCAAAAATAACACAAGGTAAGCAACATTTCAAGGACTTCTTTCATTTAAACAGAAGATTCATATATTGAAAATTCATTAACAAATAGATGGTAAATACAGCATGACACCAACACCTGAAGTTGCTGTCGGAGTATAAATCATCTCTATTATGACCAACGTGACAAATATTCTCACGCATCATGACATGTGTAGTGTGTACAAAGGAGATAGATCATATAAAAGAATAACAATTAAGCATAATAAGTGCACGCAAATCTTAATGCCACATCCAGATGTTNAAAAAAAAAAAAACTCTATTACAAAATAAAATGATACAACAGACAAAAAAATAAATGTATTGGATCAACTTATGCATAAGATGTTTACATGTCTATATATAAAACTGCAAGTCCATGAGATGAAGCCTACTAAACAAACCATATAAAAAAAGTTACATTTCCACCTCCCTAGAGAAAATTTTCTAAACAAAATGTAAAATATTCGTTCATCCAACTTTTTCTCTCCTCAGTTTATCAATAAAATTTTTCAAACGAACTCTTTAATTAATAAAAAATGCTCAATAGCATTTACTATTCATCCACTCATACATTGTTAACTACCACTGAATTTATTACTTTTTCTTGACACCAACCCCAATAATTACAAATTCCATCTCACATCCAATCACACTTTTCAACTATTTTTTCTATCTACCGTAAACCTTTACAAACACTTCTCTCCAGTTACTTAAAAAAATTTCACTGTAATAATCGCACCGCCTTTTTCACTCTAGTAATATTGTTTCCCTCACAAATTAAGTTAATAACCGAAGCGAAAAAGTTATCTTCTAAATAAATACCAATCACTTTTTACTACAAGATTAGAGTCTTACCGGTATTGATGCATTCAGACTAGCACCACCTATAAGGGCACCATTCTGGAAGTTTCTGGGAAAGACATTATCTCCAAACTTGCGATCCCTATCACTCTTCCAAGATATGTCTCTCTTGTTTATGGCCAATTCCTGGTTATTGCGAGTAATTCCATAAGTGTCGTTAAACAAACTCCACGCTATAAGACCACAAGGAACAATAGGGTTCCCATCTGGTGTGGTGTCTTCTGGACTACAAGAACTTGTTTCACGCTCACTCCCAGGATTCCTCAACTGCTGATCATTTCGGCTCCTCACATATCTAATATACATCAAAGAATATCATAAAAATGGCACAAGAAATAAGTATTTGGAAATAAGACGGACCAACTAAATCAAAAAACTCTTATGAGGAGAAAATAAATGTCCACTTTTAATTTCGAAAAAAGAAAACAGAAGGAAAAAAAAAAACAGCACTTGATTTGTAATGCTAAGATCTACATATCCCCCTCCAATGAGAGAAATGCACCAACACTCATCCTCAAGAAATGATGCAATACCGGGTTGAATAAGTAGCCAAAAATTGGTAAAAGAACAAGATTGAAACTGCATTATAGATACCTGCGGTGATTCTGATAGAAATTGTCAAGCTGGTAATACACGTAAATTGGTTGCTCCATATGCTTTGGAACCTGAAACATACAACTCCATTAGTATAGAGAGCGTTATCATAATTCTATGAAAACAGAACAAAATGATGAGATGCAGTAGACGAACAGTCATGACAACAATCAGAAAAACACTGAATGACTCACCGTAATAGTTCTATTGCAAGTCTTGTCTCGAGAACTTTGAATAAACCCAACCCTATTGTTTCTTGATTCTACAGGAATGCATTCAGCGTCATATCGATGTACAATTTCAACAACCTGGTGAGCGGGAAAGAATATTCAGTTAGTACAAACTTGAAAAGAAAGGACAGATCAATCATCAAATAGTAAATGACATTATCCACCAGCAGCATACATCTCGTGAAGCAAGAAGAGATACAACTCCGATTGGTATGAAGACAACACTAACAAGCAAGAATGTAGAGATCACCTGCACCGCACAAGTGAGATAAGTCATTTATTTAAAGGGAGAGAAATATCTGCCAAACTTGAAATAATTACCCATTTAGGAGTGAGAATAGGCTTGCAAGCAGGTAGTTCTTGCTGGGTGAACCTTGAATCTGGGGAATATGATTGAAAAGGAAAAACATTTACAATCGCGAAAAGTATTTAATGCATATCCAAGATTCAGCATTCAAAATACAAGAGAGGAAATTTGATTACAACATTCAATATACTTATAGATAAAAAAAAAAAAAAAACTCCCTTCAAATTGTCCGAATCGCATTTCCATATATTTTTGTGAAATCACGGTTGCAGACTTAAGGTGTATAACCAGATAAATTTTGCCAAAAATGTCAAGCTTGTCAAAATCAAGTTCCAAGCTTTGATTATACATAACACGCATAACATGATTAACTAATTTTGTCATTAAATCACAATCAGTACCTATTTCTCCTGAATTAGGACAAATATTCACCCCAGTTCATTGAATAACACAAATTAAGAAAAAAAAAAACATTCCATAACGGAACACCAAATAACAAAATGATAAAAACAAGGCAACAATCAAACATCGAAGGCAGCTACGAAAATTACATTTGGGCCGCTTGGAATTTCTTCTAGGTGCCGTCGGCTCGGCCGATCCAGCTCCTCCTGCACTCGACGACGGAGTATTCGAGTTCATCACTTGGCCACAACTTTTTCTTCTCTCTCTTTCTTTCTGGTTTTCCACTACCCAGAACAACAAGAACCCTTAAGATCTCAAGGGGAAACGCAAATTAGAACCCCGGGCTCGCGGATCGTGGAATCAAAAGAAACCTTCAATGGTTGAGAGATCTTTTCAAAATTAAAACGAAAAGAAATTGTGTAGGTTTTGGCACAACACAGAGGTTTGCTGGGATGGGTGGGAAGCTATCTTTATCAAATTTTCACGCTATTTCTCCTCGTTTGACTTTGAAAATTCTTTGCGTGTTGTAGTTTTCGCCAGAGACCAACAAAAAATTAAATAAAATTAAAAGGAGAAGATTGTGAGGAGATTTTCTCTGCCAAAAAACTCAAATGACGGATTTAATGCGGCAATGATCCCAGTCTTGAAAGAAATATGTGATTAAGGTTTCTAGAAAGAGAAGGCGTTGAGAAGGTTGGCAGGTTTGAGCCCAGGGGTAAAGTTGGAAGCGGCACAAAAGAATTGTCAAACATAACTCAAACATGATGGGCTGCTTGTTTTGCAGACGGTTGGGAAAATAAATCACGTGTTTTTCGTCCTAGTGTCCACGTTGCAGTCAATTTCGATCCCAAACAATTTTTTTTTTTTCTTTTTTTTTTGGTACATTCAAGGAGGCCAAAGCCTTGCAAATATAAATTAAGTTAAAACTTGACGGGAATAGAAAACTTCAATATCATCATGTTCACGCCAAGTTTCCAATTCGAAGGGAGGTGAAGACACTCTTTGAAGTCTAATAGAAGAGGATGTCGTTAAACTCGTCATATGATTTGTCGCAAAGTTAGTTTCCATGTGCATATGTTGGATCCTAATGTTCCAATCCCTTTGAATCAAGCTACAAATGGCCTTGACTATCGCTTCATGAACCCCAAATTTATCCTCGGTGCCAAGAACCATTTTCGTCACACATTGACTGTCGACCTCTGCAATAACTTGGCCATAGCTCATGTCCCATGCCATATGCAGCCCTTGAAGAAGACCCCAAAGCTCGTAATGGTGTAATATTTAATATTCATGAGAAAGCCTGCAATCCATCTACCCAATTCGTCCCTAAGTAGCCCTCCAGCACTACTCAATCCCGTGGAGTTATCAAAGGCATTATCTGTATTTACTTTGATCCACCTCGAATTTGGCGGAAACCAATGTATTATTCATGTAATGTGTAAGTCGGCCCCTGCCTTCACAAAGGTTGAAGCAGATCGAACATAATTATCAATAAGGCTCAAAACCTCCAAGCGACGTGCCTCGTAACTTAGTGTTTTTTTTTTGTTGAAAATTGGTCGTTCCTCCACTTCCACGTTCGCGCAGTGTATTACCGCACATGGATGAACAAAAGGGATCCCGCTAACATCCCAAGCTCTGCATGTCCATGTCATACTCTCAGAGATAAAACAAACTGATTTTCTATGTTTAAAACTTGAAATTTTTCGCCTAAGGTTGGCTTGTTACTACAAAGGATACTCTTATACTTATTGTCCTTGACCTTAACTCTGATTCTAGGACATATATCAGTGATACCACAAATTAACTTAAGCTTATAAGGTTGTCTTTCCAAGGCATAACTTCTAATGCTTTTTAGCATCTGCAAAATGAGTTCCTTTGTAGACTTCACAATGGTGGTATTGAACATTGTACAAACATATTCATAATCATATCACACTTAGAGGAAAAGTCTTTTTCAAAGAAGTCGTTGAAGGCACTCTCATCTGTTGCCTTCAAATGCTCAAGTTCTTTCATGTATGCAGCCTCATATGGGAGCTTTCTCTAGTTCAATGTACACATGCCTAGCACAATTCTCGTGTTCAGCATGTAGTGCATAGTTCTTTATGGCATTGATAAGACCCTGTATACAAAAAATAAAAAAGGACAAATATAAATAAAAAAAATATCATCTATGAAGAATGTAAGTTAAATGAATATATATAGTAAATATATAAAGCAAATTTCTAACCTTTTTCTGATCACTTATGAAAGTCCATCCTAAATCATCCCTTATTTTCAGCTCTTGCAGTAGTATTTCCAAGAACCAAGACCAACTGTCTTCATTCTTCGAAACTACAACATCCAATGAAATTAGGTAAATCTGATTATTATCATGATTGCCAACTGCACTCATCAAGACACCCTCTAAAGATGTCTTCAAGAAGCAGCCATCCAATTCAATCACTGTGTGTATCCTTGTATAAATCTATATCTCAATGCACTAAACCAAATTTAGAAGGCTTTGAAAATGTTGCCCTCTTCCAAAAGGTTTCAAACCTCCCAGCCTATCAACTCTCAGTAACTCAGCCATGTATTTCCTTAAACACTTATAGTGTTCTTATTCAGATCCTCTAAGAATTCCCAATGCCTTCATATTTGCTCTATACAGGTTCCATTTTGAAGGTGAACAACATACTTGTCAAGTATGTATTTCTCTAACTCAACAATTTTCATTCTTGTCTTCTTTTTGAATTTGTTGATGTATTCTTTGGTAATCCAACTAGCATTGGCTTGTCTTGTTCTAATGTCCATTTTACAATTGTGCTTCAAAATAGGAGTCATGATAGGAACTCTTCAAAATAGTAGTTAGTTTTTTTGGAAGGTTTTTTTTTTGTTTTGGAAGGAAATAGAAAGCAGTTAGTTTGGAGCAAGCTAACTTCTGCAGAAAGGAGTAAATGTTTAAGCAAATGGTATGATTTGTTAATTGTAGTGCCCCGTTTGCTTTCGTAAATTTTAGTATTTTTATTTATTTATTTGCCTGCATTCTATTTTTTTTTTAACAAATAACGCCCCGGAAGGACGGGGGATTAGGCTGAATCCCCAACCTGTGCATAGATCAAGACCCCAAAACGAGGTCCTTGTCTGCATTCTATTTTATTTTCCATGCGTTGTTTGATTAAATTGATTGTAGTTGTTTTATTCTAATTATGTGCTAACTCGACTGTATTTCACTTAGGGAAATTTTCACGTGTGCTACGTGATTTTAACTTAATTACAACTCTACCATATCTATATTAATAATTGTGTCTTTACCTAAAACACTTTATTTATTTATATTAATGCCTAAATCATTTACCATATCCTTTCAACCTCCATTCCTCTTTTTATGGGATTAATTAGGAGAGAGAAATTAAAATATGCTGATAATAACTCCTTTATTCCTTGATTCGCGCACTTTTAACGTTTTTTTATAGAGAGAGATAAAAACATGTATTGTAATTCACACAGCTGTCCGGTGGGTATATGTTGAGTTTATGTTAGTACATATTCAGTATATGTTGCAATTTCATCAAAAAAATCTTCTAATATACTGAACATATATTCCCTATACACACAACATATACCGAACAATTTACAAAAAAATCTTCTAATATACAGAAAATATACTCTCTATACACACCACATATACTGCCTGTTTATACACACAACATCCAACATATACTGTCGTTAACATATACTGTACATATACTGTAGATATACTCCAAAATAAATCAAACGAAAAAAATTCTCAAAAAAGTTGTTGTGATTTTCTTCTTCTTCACGGCCTCGGGTGTTTTGACCTCGCTCAACCTCTTCGTCTTCTTCTTTGCTAATTTCAATTTCAAACTTGAACTATTTAACATCTACGACACACGCAGCCATCGTCGAGGATCTCCATCCGCGAGTCACCGACCACGCAAGGCTTGCAACCCCCGCGAACCACCGCTGACGTTCGTTTACTTTATCCTCCCAATCGGTTGTTAAAAATTCGGGCCTAGTGAAAGTCGACACGACGAAGGGGTTATGGGAAAGGGCGGTTCGGAGCTTTATCTCGTCGATGGGTTAAACTTCGCTGGAATCATCGATGGCAGGGAATCGATGGCCGGATAGGTTGCAGGCCGCGTAGAGCTTTTTTGGGGATTGTGGGGGGTTTTTGTGTGTCGTGTTTTGAACGATTGGGCAAAAAAAAAAAGAAAAAAGAAAAGAACAGAGAAAAATTCTACCTGTAGGGGAAGAGGAAATATAAGCATAAACTGTAAGAGGAAGACGAAAAAGAAGAAGAAGAGAGAGAAGGAGGAGAGGGAGAGGGAAGACGAAGAGAGAGGAGGAGTGAGAGAGATAAAGTGCATATTTAATTTCAACTAGTACAGAGCCCGTGCGATGCACGGGGTGCACAATTCTAAGGCTATTTATCCAAGCTTATAATTATATACATGAATAAAAAAAATGTACGGGATATATATAATACGTGATCCGTGCAAAGCACGAGATATATTTATTTGGAGAATATTACATTATAAGATGCAATATTCAATAAAAGTTTATAATACGCAAGAAAATTGTACAATGTTCAATAAAAGTTTTACAATATTCAAGTGGAGTCTTAAAGTCTCTTGTACATTAAGACTACTGACAAAATAATATTTTAATCAATGAGTTTCCTTTCCTTGTAGCCAAATTGTGAATGTGATTTGAGGAGTACAACAAATCGATATATAGCTGACTTGATTTTTTTATGGTAGTTTTTTTTTTCTTTTTTTTTTTTATAATGAATTTAAAGATATTCTAAAATATAGCAAAAATTAATTTTTTTATTACAATTAGGAATTTTACTAAATATAAACTCTCAATCTATGGTGTTAATCAACGTTTAAGTCTAAAAAATTAGGAATTTTTACCTCTTTTAATCAACGTTTAAGTCTAAAAAACAATAGAGTTATTATAAGTTTTTTTTCTACATCTTTTAAAACATTAAATATGAGCATGTTAGGGCTAGCTTGTAAAATAATTAATATATTATCTCACTAAAACATTTATACTAATAAAAATTTAATTTTAGCATATAAATTTATCCCTTGATATAAGAGAAAGTAACAGTTTTACTTATTGTTGTTCACCATATAATATTTAATTATTATTTTATTATATAATAAAAAAGAAATATTGTTAAATAGTGTAGTAGAATTGTTATAAAATTATATGATTTTTTTTTTACAATATGGATTTAATATTTTTTTATGATTTGATAATATAAACAAATCTATACTTAACTTTGACAAATAAAACAAATAAATACTTTAGTAAGTATTTAATGTATATACTAAATAGAAATATATTTGGTATAATCAAATACCAAAAATAATTAAATAAGTCAAAGTGTACATTTTTATTTGGTATTTGATTTTTTTATTATTAAAATCTTTTTATTATACTTACCTTTTCAAAATAAAACAAATAAATAAATCAATTAAATAAATAAAATATTATAATACCAAAATAGTAATGGCATTTAATGCAGTTGACTTTTCTGGATGATAAATATAGTAAATAAAATCTCCTTATATATAATTATAGATTGTATAATACGGAATTAGTAATGCAATAAATGTTGTTGACTTTTCTTTATACTAAATCTGGTAAATGGTATACCTTTTAATATAAGTATAGATTAAGGATAGTATTTAATAAGCCAGAAAAAAAGGAAATAACAGGTGTTAGGTATAATTGAAATATTTTTAACATGATTAGGTAATTTGATAAATAAGAATATAAAGAATATATAAATGTAATAAAAATCATAGCTTGAGATAAGGAGTGCAAAGTTAACGAATTTGTTCAAAATCGAGTTCAATTGCAATTGTCTCGTTAGCCTTTTATTTAGCTGAACCCTTGTCCATGTTGGACTTAATATTCCGGCCCAAAATCATATCCAACCGGCCCATTTGTTTTAGTCCAAGTCACCTTCCAAATAACCCTAATACTTTCCTCCTTTTAAATCCACCAAACTCGGTCGCCGCAATACGATCTATTTCGTCTTCCCCGCTGCAAAGAGTCTTCATCTCTATCTTCCCTATAATTGTTATCCCGTCGCCCTAGAAATCTCAGCGAATTCTCGATAAATTCAGCCCATCTGAATCGTTGCAATCAATCGATACCAGCCTCGCCGATTTCGCCCCGAACACCGCAGACTCCGCCCGTCGCACACCTTCAGCCGCCGACGTCCACCCCAGCCGCCATCGACAGAGCCACCGTCGTTCAGCCACGAACATCCAATCGCGAACCGCCGTCGCGTGCCTCTGTATCGTGAGCAACTCGCCGCCGTCTCTCCCCGCGACCAGTCCGTCCATCGCCGGGAGGTGTCGAATTTCCGACCAGGTTCTGTCCGTGCGTCGCCTTCACGATTGAGCAGCCCTATCATCGGCGTCAACCGCCGCCGCGTACGAGCCACCGGCCAGCGAGTGGCGAACCTCAGTCCGAGCCGCGAACCGCCACTGCAGCATCCCGCCGGCGTCAATTGAGAAGTCCAGTCTGGTTGTCATTTGATTTCTGACATGACATTAAATTGGCACTGGTGTTTCCTCTTTTTATTTTACTATGCACAGTTTGTTAAGGAATTGATGCATCTGAACTTGTCATGTTCTATAAATTCAGTGCTCATTATATTGCTGCCGCAATTGGGTGCTGCTTTTCAGCTGGCTTCCTTTAATAAAATAACTGGAAACAAATCAAACACAGAGCAAAACCTGCCCAAGGCAGAATGCCATGTAATTGATAGTTTTCCACTTATAGAAATGTTTGCTTTGTATTAGAACTATTATCAATGTTGTCATTAATGACAGATTTGACTTTCTGGAGAATTTATTTACTAGATGAAGCATCTATGTGGCTGGTAAAAATTACCTAAGCTAGGTAGTTCTGGAAACAAACTTATATTTAATGAATGGAATATAAAAAAATTAAGCATTAGACATGACTTGTCCAAGTTATTGAAAGCATTTTCTGATTTGAGCTGGTTTACATGTTCTGGTGATGGTTATATTGCTAAAAATGTGAATTTATCAGAGTCTTACTTTCAGTTTTGAGGCTGAGTTATTGTTGCATTAAGAAAAAAAAAAAAAAAATAGAGGAAAGAAAGAAGATCATGATGCTTATGTGTTGTTATTTGGCCTCATTTTGTTATGATACTGAAGCTCTGTAATATTTGAATTTACCATGCTTAAGTGAAGTATCATAGACCTTTTATTTAAGTTTATAAGCCGTGCTTGGAGAAGAAGAGATGATGATAATAATAATAATAATAATAATAATAATAATAATAATTATGTGGCTTTATCTGCTTAAATTGACTGCATTAGGTGATTTTATATGAATTGTTTGTCCGTATTATGTGCTCCTACGTGTTTAATTTTTCGTGCTCTATACCTAGCAATCAAAATCGCCCTTTGAACGTGCATTCACCATCATGAGTGTGCCGCCCTTAGGTCACAGGCACAAGGAAGTCCATGAGTGTATCTCAGTACACATTCGCGGGCACAAAGAAGTCCATGAGTGTATCTCAGTACACAGCGCCGCGAAACATCTTCGCTCAAGTCTCGCATCCTCTTAAACTCATCATTTAATAAATCCAGACAGTAATGCGAGACCCGCAGTCTCAACTGCGCGAAAGGGAATTCCTTGTAACCCGTACTCATCCTAAGTCTCGAAAACTCCAGCGCGTCTCTCGTAATACATTATATAACATTAGACCCAATTAAATTTATAATTAATGCAGTAATAACACAGTAAATATGTATAACTTAAGGAATATACCTAATTGAGTCAGTTGAGACTCAATCTCCTTATGAATCTTCTCCTACACTGTCGAGCGAACCGGTCGACGTGTTAAGCCACTGCTTCAACACAGTGTGGGCACTCTTCTCCCTACACGACGTTGTGTTACCAAAATGTAAAACAGTATTCGTCCACGCTTTGACATACTTTTCCTTGTGGACTAACCATTTCTGCTCCACATATTCTAGTACACGAGGAAATGTCGCGTACTGAACATACATATCACCTAGGGCAATATTGTATTTCTCCACCGTGCTCGCTTCGACAACTTTCTTTCACCTGCCGTGCGTGAGCTTCTGAGCGAAGACCTTATTTTTTGCTCGTTGTCGATAGATCCTGTCTTCCACATCCTTGTTGATGTGTCACTTGCAAAGTTAGTGGGGTTACTCTGAGAAATTCATCTGAATAAGAGTAATCAAGCCCAACTCCCTGTCAGTGACAATGGCTGAAGGATGTACATCAGGCCCTATCAGAAGTCTCAACCATTGTAGAATACAGTCATAGCTGTACTCGGTCTCGTCCTTGATAATTGCATAGGCAATTAAGAAGTTCTTGTTGCACGGCGTCATTCCAATCATTTCCATCAACGGTATCTGGTACCCATGCAAATGAAAGTAACAAGAGAAAATATAAAATCAAAAAACTTACTCAAACATACTAATTAAGATTCACACTAAATTTATTTATAAAGTAACATAACATACCTGTTGGTTTTGTACATCAAATCTATACTGACATAACAGTAATATGTCCGGAATAGATTGGTCGATTGAGGATGCGACATGAACACACGTGTCAACGCCTGTGTGTCTTGATCAACATCTGTGTAAATTATATATACTTATTAACCTTATCCAAATGCAGAATATAGGCAGCCACATCTCTACCCTGTAAACTATCTCTCCGCAATTTAACTTTATAGTTATACACCTGTCGATGAATAGCGTTGTCTACAGGGTTTTTCTCCTGAATCGCAGCCAAAATTGCTGCTGGTTTTGCCTGAGCAGCAGTCATATCACGGACAATCTCTTTAGATGAATCGCTAATTCCGTTCATTTGTCGATGACCCTCGGGATACACAGGTATTGCATGATTATGCGTTCTTTTCTGAGTATTAGAAGGAATCCAGATAGATCATTTTTGAGATTCTGGCACAAATTTGACTTTTATCAGAATAGGGCATTTGGACGCTTTAGTTTTCGTACATCTGAAAATAGCCTTAACTAAATCTACTATATTGCTTCTGTAACGTTCCCCTTGATGACACCTCAAAATCCACGAAAAAGAAGGAAAACAGAAGGTTTTGAGGTGTCATAGAGGGGAACGTTACAGAGGCAGTATAGGAGATTTAGTTAAGACTGTTTTCAGACGTTCGAAAACTAAAGCGTCCAAATGTCCTTTTGTGATAAAAGTCAAATTTGTGCCAGAATCTAAAAAATGGTGTATCTGGATTCCTTCTAATACTCAGAAGGGAACACATAATCATGCAATGACTGTGTATCCCGAGGGTCATCGGAATTAGCTATTCATCTAAAGAGATTGTCCGTGATATGATTGCTGCTCAGGCAAAATCGACAGCAATTTTGACTGTGATTCAGGAGAAAAACCCTGTAGACAACGCTATTCGCCGACAAGTGTATAACTATAAAGTTAAATTGCGGAGAGATAGTTTGCAGGATAGAGATGTGGTCGCTCAAATTCTACATTTGGCTATGGTTAGTAAGTATATAGTTTACACAAATGTTGATCAAGACACACATGTGTTCACACGTGTTAATGTCGCATCCTCAAGCAGCCAGTCTATTTCGGACATATTACTGGAATGTCGGTATAGATTCGACGTACAAACCAACATGTATGTTATATTACTTTATAAATAACAATTTAGTGTGAATCTTAATTAGTATATTTGAGTGTAAGTTTTTTTGATTCTATGTTTCCTCTTGTTGCTTTCATTTGCAAAGGTACCAGATGCTGTTGGTGGAAATGATTGGAATGACGCCGTGCAACAAGAACTTTTTAATTGCCTATACAATTATCAAAGACGAGACCGAGTACAACTATGACGGGGTTCTACAACGTTTGAGACTTCTGATAGGGTCTGATATACATCATTCAGCCATTATCACTGACAGGGAGTTGGAGCTTGGTTACTCCTATTCAGAGGAATTTTCCAGAGTTGCCCTACTTACTTTGCACGTGGCACATCAACAAGGATGTGGAAGACATGGTCTATCGAGTAGGAGTAAAAAATAAGGCCTTCGCTCATAAGTTCACGCACGGCAGGTGGAAGAAAGTTGTCAAAGCGAGCACAGTGGAGAAATACAACAGTGCCGTAGGTGATATGTATGTCCGGTACGCGACGTTTTCTCGTGTGCTAGAATATGTGGAGCAAACATGGTTAGTCCACAAGAAGAAGTTTGTCAAAGCGTGGATGAATACTGTTTACATTTTGGTAACACAACGTCGTGTAGGGTGGAGAGTGCTCACGCTGTGTTGAAGCAGTGGCTTAACACGTCAATCGGTCCGCTCGACACAATGTGGGGGAAGATTCATACGGAGATTCAGTCTCAACTGACTCAAATCAGGTATATTTCTTAAGTTATACATATTTATTGTGTTATTATTGCAGTAATTATAAGTTTAAGTGAGTCTAATGTTATGTAATGTATTACAAGAGACACGCTGGAGTCTTCGAGACTTAGGATGAGTACGGGTTACAAGGGATTCCCTTTCGCGTAGTTGAGACTGCGGGTTTCGCATTATTGTCTGAATTTATTGGTTGATGAGTTTAAGAGGATGCAAGACTTGAGCAAAGATGTTTCGCGACACTGCGGATGTGTATTGAGATACACTCATGGACTTCTTTGTGCCTGTGACCTAAGGCTGACACACACTATTGATATGCCGATCACGCCCGAGTTGATCCCCAGGTTCTGGAGCACACTAGAGGTCTAGTGTGAGAGCCAGGTATAATTGCGAGATTGATAAATTAATAGAATTTATCTAAACATCATGTACAAAATATAATTTTTCTAAATTCTGTTTAATTTTTTAGATCTTTTAGTATACTTTATGTATTCTTTCATTTATAGACTATGTTGTATAATTTTTTGTACGGTTAGGTGACCAGAGTGGATCGACTAGTGGATGGACAGATCATGAGTTTTTCGGAGCCTTGCCGAGGAGGTTGAAACGGCCGATCCTTCAACGGTGCGGTACGTGAATCAGTTCATCTATTCTCAAGACCAACAAGGTTATACAGTAAAGGAAAATTCAATAGGTCGGCCCAAGAAGACCAAATGGGAGTACAGTGAAAGAGGCCACCGGGCGTATAAGCACTTCTTCGTGTGCTCCATCGAAATCGGAGTACACGGAAGGCATGGCTTTTTGCCAATGCTCTATAAACTCTCTCTCTCTCGCCCCCCTCTCCTTTTCTCATCAACCGCGACCCACCTCTGCAGCTACGTTTTCTCATTGGCCACTCTAAATTTATCTATCTTCTCCTATTTTGCTTAATTTCGTTTGGTTATCTGTAGCAGTAAGTAAGTACCTTTCCTGTTTGATCAGATCGTGCTTTTGTTTGTGCTTTGGGGGAATCGATTTTGTTGCTGAGAAATTGAAGGTAAGAAAGTGATTGTTGGGTAAAAACTACTCACACTTGTATTGGATTTGTTTTCCAGTTAATTCGTGAGGAAAGTTCTCTAATCTTTGCTAAATTTGCTGCATGCGTTAGTGGATGGAAGGTTTCGTTCATAATTTTATTGATTCATGTAGTTGAATTCCACGCTTCAATGTTTGTTTTTTAGTGTTGTAAACATGCATGACTCCAATTGGAAACCGTGATTTGAGAGTAAGGCAATTTTGATTATGGCAGATGAGTACAGATGCTCAGAGCATTGTTACTCGCTTGAACAGTGCGGACTTTATTTGAATTCAGGGATTTATAGTAGGGAAGTGGACCAATGCATATGATGGGAAGACGATTGAGGTTAGACATTCTACTTGTTTCCCATGAAAGGACAAATCAGGAAATTGAATTTGTGAAGAGGTGTTTCTGCATGCAATTGTGAGTATTATACTTTGTTGCCTTTCATGGCAGGTCCAAAATCCTGCAACTGGCAATGATATAACAAATGTTTTGTGCATTGGTAGAAGGGAGACGAACAATGCAGTTGCTTCAACACATGATGCATTTCCATGTAAGTTTCTTAAGGCTAACACATCAACTCTTTTATTTTTCCCCACTTTTTCTTCTTTTTTCGGCAGAACTGCTAGTAATCTTTATTCATGTAGCCAGTTACGAGCCAATCAGTAGTATCTTCTAAAACCAATGAGCATTATTATATTTTCACTTGGGGTCAAACATTTATTGCTCTCCTCAACCTAGTGTGGAGAACATTACACTTTTTCCTGCTTATTGATGGTTTCCTCTGTGAGGTATTAGAGAGGTATTAGAGCTGGTATTCCAGTTGCTTTATCTGGCGTATTATTTGTAGATAATGTGGCAATCACTATCTGCCTGTCATCGGATGTGTGATGTGCCTGTCATCGGATGTGTGATGTGGAGCCCTACCGAACATTGTGACATTTCAGTCAGTTGTGTTGATGTAAAATGGAATAGTAAAAGGTGTGAGTTATACCACTGCTGGCCAAGTGAACTGCTGGATTTGTCATGGTATCATAGTTTTCCTAATTCCTTTGGTGTCTGCCTTTTCCTCTTTATTCCTCTTTATGCTCAAATATGAATTTCATACGTTATTTCTATTTTATTTCTTAATTATTATGGAACCAAAAATTGTTTTTTGTAGTCTGATTAATTTACAACTGTAAACCTAAGTTGGAGCAAGCTAACTGCTGCAGAAAAGAGTAAATGTTTAAGCAAATGGTAGATTTGTTAATTTCCCACAAAGAAGAGCTTGGCCAACTTATGACACTGTATCAAAGAAAATCTCTGAAATAGGACATTGGTGAGGTGCTTGATTCTCTTATGTTGCTAAAACAAAAATAGTTTTTACTAAATGATTTTACGGCAACATTATTCCACTGACATTGCCAGATCGTTTTTTATTATAAAGCAGGTTTCCGTTTTCCCCAAATTTTTAAATCTAAGATATTACAATCATTATAATTTGACAGCTGCATTGATTGTCACTAATAAAAGAAGCATCCATAACTCAAGTGTCTGTTTTATACAACTACCAAGAGCATTCTCAGGGGCACACGCCGTTTTATTGAACAAAAGATTTCTTAAATTCTTTAATGTTAGGCATAATTTTCTTATTCTTCTGCGCAATATCCTACCTCATAAGATCAGACATATTGTTCATTCAGGATTAAGTTAGTGAAGTTCTTGGATGCATAGGCTGCTACTTTAGAACATTTATTCCCAGTTAATAGCAATTTGTTGAATCCTTAAATATTAATTACTGCATAGAATGTGTCATGATGACATGAGGTTAATTTGGTTCAATTTATCTCTTTCTTTTCTTGAATATTTTATCTTCTAGTTTGGACACTTACATATTGATTCTTTAATGAAATGCTAGTCTTGGTGTTGCAATTTTACTACTCATATTACCAGTAATTATAGAAATGGATTCCAAATGATTTTATCCAACAAGCTTGGGGTGGAGTGTAGTGAACCTTCAAGAAATTTAGAAAGTTTTATAGAATAAAAGAACCTTAACAGATTTTGAATGAATACTAGAGATGGAAGTCAACACTTCCATGGAATAAATACAAGTATGTGTTGACCCCAACAAACTAAAATGTTCTCAAGAGAACTCAATTTAATATGAACAGTGAATGCACATTAGTTTGTTGTTGTGTCCTTCATATGATTTTCTTCATATTTGTGGTATTCCAGTTTCTGTTTGTACAAAATTAGGTCCTTATTTGTTTATCAAATTTATTTCCCTTTTGTTTATATCATGATGATTTTTGAGTGATAGGCTGCAAATAAATGTTGTAATGGGAAATGCACCTGAAATTGGAGATACTCTACTTGCAAGCCCTCGGCTATCTTATCCATAACATTTGAATATGGTTATATGAAAAATCGGAACTTTTGATTAATTAATGTTTTTTAATTGCGGAACTTGTTTTTAAGATCCTCCTTCTATTTTTTTTTTCTCACTTATCCTGTGTCCGCTAAATTTTCATTATGTTTTCAAATGCAGTTGAGAAGATGAATGTTGTGAATGCCTTTGGTGAAGGTGTGTTACAGGTAGCTAGTCAGAAGCCCTTTCTTTTCGTGAAATTTATAACAAAGCAGTCGTTTGGCCTTTGTTTATTGACTTCACTACTTATCGCATATAGTTTTCTGGTCACAGTTACTGTTCTTTACTGAGGTGGAATGAAATGACGTAGCTTAACATTTATCTTTACATTTCTTGCAGGGCCTTTAATAAATAGTGCTGCAGTACACAAGGTCAATTTTCTATTCACATTGTAATTTATGTTAAACGAATCTTGCACTGAATCTTGCTGATATCAAGATATTATTAAAATCATGATGAACTTAATTTGATAACTAGATTTTATGCCTATCTTTTTACAAGTCAGTACATAGCATAACGGATGCCTTAGGACAGAGAAGTTTATGCGTATCTTGTTCTGATTCCCCAAAATTATTTTCCTTATCGGCCACTTTTGTTAAAAATGTTACATGAAACTGTTTCTTTTGTATAAAATTATTCTTTCAAACCATTGTAAGAGCCATTTAGTTTTCAATTTCATAGGTTATACCTGTAAATTACTAGATTCCTGGTTAGCCAGAAGGGAAACAACATTGAAATTTCAATATCTTAGACTTGGAAATGACTTTAGTCACAGTCAAACATAAAGAAAAGATCTACAACTTAGAATTCTTGTCATTCATATATGATTCTGAATAGTGTGTTAGTTAAATACCCATTTTATTCTCCCATTGTATGGAGGAAGTAATTGGGTCTGTTGACCTCGTCTGAAATTTAAAACCGAGGAAGAAGCTATTCATATGCAGGTGATCCTGGTGAACCCAATCTTCTATGATGAGATTCAAACAAACGAACTTGTAATCATTGGGAGAAATTGACCAAATAGTGTTGCTAGTATATAACATTCATTATATTGTAGCTGAGTTTTATTTTAATTGTTGTTTATTTGTGTATTATTGAATAATTTTTAGTTTTTAATACAAACTTTCGTGGTTGGCTAAGGCCCAAGGGCAAGTGGTGTAACTTGATAAGTTGAGCTTAAGTATTTTCGTGTTTGTTTGTTTATATTCAAGTACAAATTCATGTTGGAGCTCGTTCGTATGACTTAGTAAACAAGGTTACTGAAATTATTTTATTAACTCAAGATCGGTGGTTCGAAATCATTGGAGCTCAAAAATATTAAAAAATTAATAAAAAAATCATATAATACAATATGTTGTGAAATATATCATGAACAATCTACAACTCTACTAGGGACTTTGAAGTTATTAACTAAATATTAAATATGTTTTCACTAACCAATGATTATTTGAAGTTTTTAACTAGATATTAAATATGCTTCCACAAACCAATGTTAATTACTTTAAATTGAATGTTCTTTTTCCATCATTTTGTGATTGAATTTACCACGATTTCACCTTTAACGTTCATCCTTCTGCAATTAGACCTGCTTTTGGTAAAAGAATATAAAGCCATACATACAGTTGATGGATTACATAACAATTTGCCAGTGTTGTGCTCTGCTATCCTCCAGCGACAAGATGTTGTTTCTTGAATTCGCAAATGAGTGTGTGTGGATTTCGGCGGTTTCTATTTTCGGCTTTTGAGATAAAAAGGATGAACCTTAAAGAAGGCCTTCAAAATGTGAACCTCAGACGAATCTGATTCCTGCTGCCATTTAGTCCTCCGACGACTTTACTCAGTTTCCATCTTTTCTGTTTTAGAGCATGTTTGTACACAAAATTTTTCACTCAATTTTTTTTTTCCACACTCAAAATTTCGTTCAACTCAAAATCTAACTCAACTCTAATATTCTCAATATTATCAATATAATTAAGTAATAACATCTAATTATTCTTACACATCACATCTATTTTAATTCACTATTCATTCACTCAAATAATATTAACTAACTATCACTTCATATCATCTCTGTCCTACTTTTACATAAATCAGCTTTAATTATTTTATTTTAATTATTATTTTAATATAAATCCAAAATTCAACTAACAACTAACCATATTATTTTTTTTTTCTAAATTAACTCTAATTAACCAAAGAAAATCCACTTGAAAATTTTAGAACGGAAAACACGCTGGCAAATTAAACACGCATAGTAGTAGACTAGTAGTGAACTTGGTTGTATTCATTTGGGGCTCATTTATTTGAAAAATGACGATTATTTATAATTTTCGACCTAAAGATGGACATAGTCACATACATAATATTAAGTACGGGTAGATATAGATACTTCTATTTTGGACAATCACATAACTAAGCTCTAAGAGAAATAATTATAAATGTACAACTGCCAAAATTTATTTGCATCAATACCAGATTGATATAAATAATTATATGTATGTCTAAATTCCTTTGCAACAAAAAAAAACGCCCCACAATCTAAAATTTCGAACTTGATTTGTAATTAAATAATGTATTTATTTGTGAAGATGCAAATATATCAGTTACCTAATAAAAAATAATTGGCTCCCTTAATTCACGCAGCTTATGCGTTCTTAAGAGAGAGAAATGAAAACATAATAGTAATTCACGCAATTGTCAGATGTTTTGAATGAGCAGTATATATTACATTTATAGTTAGTATATATTCCGTAAATGTTGCAATAATCTACTGACGATATATGTATTGTTTACTTGACTGAAATATTTGGTTTCATATTTTTTTCTTTTGGTAGTTTCTTTAACTGTGTTTTATTGATGGTATATGTATTGTTTTTTTTTTTTCGTAAAAATTACATTTCTAGTTAGTATATGTTCATTATATGTTGCAATAATCTCCTAATATACTAAAACAACAAAAACAACGAATTACTCGTTTGTCAATTTTGTCTTCAACNAAAACACTTCTAATACACCAAATATAAACTACGAAGGTAACCGTTGAAATTTCATCATTTTCTCGTAGTGGTAATTACCACATTACACTAAAAAACAATGTCATATTTTAACGAAAAATCCTATGATAATATATTCCAGTAGAAATTTCAACAGATATTCCAATGGAATAGTTTCCGTTGGAATGAGTTTTCCATTGGAATTTAGATGGAATTTTATTATTCCAACGGCCATTAGAATTTATGTTGGAATATACAATTTCTGTTGGAATTTTTATTTTCACCCATATTTCAACCGTTGAAAAATGTATTGTTGGAATCGTCAAAATTCAACGAAAATTCCAATGGAAACTCATTCCAACGGGACTGTTGGAATCGTCAAAATCTAACGAAAATTTCAATGGAAACTCAATATTCCAACGGAATATTTTTGTTGGAATTTCCATTGGAATCCATTAAAAATTCCAATGAAAATAATAACATTGAAATATTCGTTGATATTGCCGTTGGAATTCTTATGAAATATATTTTCGTTGAAATTTTCTATTGAAATTTCATCACATTCTCGTAGATTTAGTTAGAAGAAAGAAAGTCTAGTAAATGGTTAAAAAGTAAAAGGTTTCGGGCCTTGAAGGAATATATTCGCAAAGTATATTATTAAGATGCTTAAAATTTAAGCAAACATACCTAATATCCAATTCGACCTACTTTTGCACTAATTATGGTTTTAAAAAATAAAATGAGCTACTAAAAGTTAAACCTCTACTTTTGAGGCATATGCTTTTATAAGGGCACAGCTAGTCTAACGTGATAGTCTAAATAACTTATTAAAACATTAACTAGCTAGTAAAAATAATTTAGTCTATGTTTTTTTCTCAGTAGCGGTCTTGGATGTGCCAAGATGTAAGGTTGCTAAGTTAATTTTAATTTTTTTGTCCCCGTAGTTATTAATGATGTAGATTCACTAATGCTAATAACATTCAAGTTTAATCAAATTAATCTTGCATTATGAAGTATTATGATCTATGTACAGGTGTTTGAAGAAAAAATGATTTTACCATTACATGATGTGTATTGATCGATTTATATTCATTTTATAAACTCAGTCCAATCATTAAAGGCAGAAATAGTTCATTGCACAAATTAAGTGTAAAATAGTTTTGCTTAATTAGCAATAATATTATTAAGTATTTAAACTTCTATAACAAGGTAGGTGATAAGTAATATAGAAATTCTAACATTTAGAGAAAAGAATCTTTGCTTTTAATTCACAAACAAAGGAAGAATGTATTCCTTTTGGAGAAAGAAGGATAGTATGATATCATATTAGGTAAAATTTCACTTTCTTTTAACTTGTCATACTTTTACATCACTACACTATAAATATTATTTAAATACAAACTTAAAACTCCACTCAATTCTCCACTCAATTATTTTATATTCAAAATTAAATCACTTTGACTAATAAATCCAATCAAACAAGTAGCGGACGGTAACTTAATAAAAAAGCTGATGTGGCAGGATTATTGAATTTCGTGATTTGTTTTTTGTTTTGGTATATGTGAAAACTAAAGGTGATGAAATTTCAATTCTGTACCAATAAGTTAACGGGTGTTTGGATACAAATAACCTCATACTAATATTTAAAATCTAAATAAAATTTAACTGAACCACACTATCCTAAATATCATCGTTACAATAATATCAACCAATCATCCTTACACATCATATCAACTTTAATTCATTATTCATCAACTCACATAATTTAACTACATATCATTTCACATCATCTCTCTCATACTTTTACATCAAATCAGTTTTAATCAAAAATTTTTAAATATTATTTTAATATCCCACTAAAAACTAACTAAAAATCAAAATTTTCAAAATTAACCATAGTTAATAAAAAAAACCAGTAAAAAACTGGTTTATTTATATCCAAACACACCCTTATTTCTGTCAAAAAATGCACATTATGTTGGGTCATCAAACTTAATGCAATATTATTTCTAATATCATAAAAAAAGTTCCATTGATATAAAAGTTCGGAATAAAATCTAGTATGATCGATGTTGAGCATAGTTTCAAAATTGGCGTTTTCCTACTCATTTTCTTTATTTCGTGTCATATTTTTGAGTTTTTGTGTATTTCTTGTGATTTTTCTTTTGAATTATGTGTTCTTGTGAAATTGCAAGGTTCTTTTATCAACTTCCCGGTGTATTGAAGCAATGAAGACATTACCTTATTTTAAGTATGAGAGAGGTTTACTTGGATTTTGCCTGTTGTGGTAGATCAGTCTAGTCGTTTTAGGTTTTATTCTTCTATTTATTTTTTATTTACTTGGTGGACTGATCTAGTTTTTAAGTTTTTTATGTGTTTTGCGTCGACTCTCTTATACATGGCGTATGGCTCTTGGTCAATATTGCTATCGTGACGCTTGAAAAGATATTTCTAGTCATATTGATTGTCGTCTTGTGTGTGAATTAACGAATTGAAACTTGGTGTTCTATATTGTTTGATGGCTTGTTGGTGTGGGGCACATGGCACGGGTCAATTGTTTAGTTTTGTCCCCTCGTGATAGCCTGATTGGCCAATGCTCTAAGCGACTTTTCTTTGAACTTGTCTCTCTTGAGTTTTCTTCTTAAAAAAAAAAAAATCAAAAAAATCAAAAATCAAAAGCTCGTCGTAGCCGAAAGGATTATACTCCAAGTACTCTGATCACTATTTATAGTGGTATTGAGTAATGAGTACGGGTAGCAGTCTAAGAGACTCGGGTATCAAACCCTAATGATAAACCTAGATAAGATGTTCAAGAGACTTCCACTCGGAAAAAGTGCTAAAAAATAATTAAATAAAATAATGGGCTTTGCGTGAGTTGGAAGGATTATGCTCCTATCACCTCAATTGATTATGGTGATGAGCACGAGAAATCGATCTAGAAAACTCGGGGAAACCCCTCAAAGATTAAATTTAGATAATAATATTTGGAAGACTTGCATATGAAAAAAAAAATGACTTGTAAAAAATTGGCTCAAGTCAATTCCTCATTCGTGAGTATATAAAAAATGTATGCAAAAGGCGTAATAATACGTGATGTAAAAAACTAAAAATAGAACCCTATAACCCCTTATATACCCAGATTATCTTATCCAAATAGAGTCTTACTAGGAAAGAGATGCAACTGTATCTACTTTCCCAGCTTAACAAGTCTCTGGAATCTTAGACTCTCTGGTGAGATACACTTGTCATGTCCTTTCTAGGATTCTGTTCCCTCCCTTGATACGGCTCCTAGATACTGAAGTCGTCACAATCACCTCATGTCCCGTCAAACATAGATGCTTACCAGGTCAAAATCACGATCTTTACTCTCACGACCTCCGGGTCATGACATCCCCTCATCTTTTCGAGCTCTCAGAGGTAGGGGTGTTCACAGTCCGGTTTTAACCGGAAAAAACCGTTAATCCGGACCGCGAATTGGTTAAATGGTCAGTTAAAAAAGCCTTAAAAAATTCGGTGGTTAATTTTTTTAAAAATCCGGAATAACCGGTCCGATTAACGGATTACCTGCGGCAAACTGCCGGTTTAACCGGACCGGACCGGTAAATATTAAAAAACTATAACAAATATATATATACATTCAGTCATTCACTATGGCCGACAAATACAATACATTCACTATGAATGTTTTGCTCTTATTATTTCAGGTGTATAAACTGACTGAAAAATGAATGTTTGCTTGAGTTCAGTTTGCATAATTAATCTTCATCATTTTTGTATTTTTATGTTTATGGGAGGAAATGTGCATTTTTATGCTTATGAGACGAATTGTGTATTTTTTATTTCATTATTGTTGTTTTTCTTAATTAAGCCCAAAATGAAAAAAATAAAAATTGAAGGCCCAAAACAAGTTTTGGATTTACCCGGTTAACCGCCAAACCGGACCGTTCAATGCGGTCCAGATTGTGGTCGGTTAAAAAATAAAACCGGTCCGTTTATGAACAAGAAAAAAAATTAACCGTTAGGTCCGGTTTGGTCATGGTTTGGGCTAAAACCGGACCAATCCGGACCGTGAACACCCCTACTCAGAGGAGCTCGGCCCTCAATCCTTCAGTTAGGTCGACTCGTACCCCGAGTTGCTGAACCGAGCTCCTTAACGAGGTCGAGTACTAACATCAAGCTAAAACTCTCTTAAAACGGTCATGCCCAAGCAAATACCGAGCTATTTTTGGTGTTATATCAGTGATCATCAATTGTGTACAATTGAATATCTTTTATGCATTCCAATTTTACTAAGTCAAAGTAAATAAGTTATAAATAGCAAG